ACCCTTAATATCTTTCTTCCAGTAAAAAATACGAGGAATCGAAAAAATAGGTCGATTTTATTGTCAAGAAGAACACTTTCAAGGACTATTTGTAGCCCTCGTGGTTCAACCCCCTAAGGGGGTAGATGTTACCCTTAGAATTTTAAATGGAGAGGGGTATCAAGTGGCACATCATTTTGATTAGAAGCAGAATTGAAAGCCAATCAAAATGATGTGCCACTTGATCCCCTTCCCATTTGAAATTCTAACCTCTACAGAGGTTGATGATAGTCCTTGAAAGTGTTCCCCTTGACAATAAAATTGACCTGTTTTTTCTATTCCTCATATTGTTTTCTGGAAGGAAGATATTAAGGGTGGGAAGTTTTCAAATTGACACCCTGTAGATTGATGTTGGACAAATAAAAAAAAATATTAGTTTGAAAGTGTTTAACAATATTTCTTGGCGAGTATAACAAATTTGGACTTCCATTGTCTGAAATGGTGTTAACAGGTTGAAAATCTATAAAAGAATTGAACTAAATATTAAATTTGATAAAAATCCTAAGAGTAATTGTTGAGATAAGTCGGCCGAATATTTTATACTGATTATTTTTTGGTATTTTTATCAATTTCATTTCATGTATTCTTCCATAGATTTCGAAACTCTTAACACCATTTCAGACAATGGAAGACCAAATTTAAAATATTCACATTTTATTTGTTGAATCATATTGGGGTTTAAATGAATATACAATTTTCATTGCTCATTGCTTAGTTGAAAAAATATTTCTGGCATAAGAACTTAGGTGCAATATTCAAAAATATAATAATAATAATTGCCTTTATTTCTTAGAATAATTGTACAATTCATATTTGTGACCATGAACAAATAAACAAGTTTGTTTCATTTGAAGATAAGACCTCCACTGAAATGTTCTTCCACTCAACATAAGTATTGAATAATTTTAAACATTCTTCTACTTTTATCTAAAAATATGGTAAATGTTTTCAAGTTTAGAAATTTACATCAAAAATTAAAATCACACATTTATGGAAATTTACAGTCTTTTTGAGATATCCAATTAGAATTTTTTATTTCTCAAATTCTACTTTATTATAGATATGTAATAAGTTTGAGGATTCCATTTGTTAAAATCTGTGTTTTAAAAATTGTTATTCAACATCTGCTTGCCGATATTTTCAGAATTTTTCATTGAAAAAATCAACTGAAGTTTTTTTGTATAACTCAGTGATAAAGATATCCCAATACCGTGTTAGGAATGACACGTTGAAAGGTAAGACCTCGTTAGTCCTTGGCTCACACAAGTTTCTCAACTTCTGAGAGTTGTCGTTCTTATGGGGGCGACAGCTGATTAATGAAAAAACAGATTTTTAAACTTGTTATGAAGTTTTCCCATTTTCTGAACTGTTAAAAATTTCCAAGTTGATAACTATTTATTCACAAAAGATATTTCATCCCATAAAATTACACGTCAAACTGAATTGCCAAGAATTACCATGCAAGCCATGCAGATAGTATATAATGATTACCTATGGTGTAATAGGTCATTGACCAAATAGATCACATGTAATTTTTGGGAAAATACTCCAGACTGCAGCACCCTAAAACATAGATATAAGTAATTCATGCATAAAAAGGAGGAATTCCTACTAACTTATACAACAGGCACTCTACAATACAACAGGCTTTTTGTTTATTTGTTGCATGTTGAAGAAACCAGGACTTGCCATTACTTATACTGTCTTTTGTACAACTATCAATTATGGGTTGTAAAATACTATGAATTTCAGTGAGGGACACTTCACAGTCATCTGCTTCTTTTTGCAAGTCTACAGCTTCACACTTTTTCACTGTCTGTTCCACTTGTGCTTGCTGCTGTTGAAGAAGAACTGTGTGTTGTGCAGATAAATTTTGTTCACTTTGCTTTATTTGTTCACGTAAAGTGTCTTGTTGTTTTGATAACTGTTCAATTTCTGCTGCGTTCTGCATTGGAGCAGGGGGCGGTGTATTCCAGTTACTGTTTTGGTCGTTCACTATATTGCCTTGCTGCTGCTGTTTGAATACTGAAATCTTTGTTAATTATCTTTTTCAAAAAAATGAATAAGTTAACTTACTGCTTTCTTCTGTGGTAACCTTATACTGGTAATAATTGAAATATTCACCACCATACAAAAACTGGAACTTTGGATTTCCTTTTTGTTTGTTTTTGGTCATCTGTTCAAATTCTGGTCCATTTCTAGCAACAAATTGAGCTAATTTGTCGATTATATTTCTCAGTTCAATATCTTAAAAAACATAACCTTCTTTAGTCTGTCTTTTATGAAAAGGAAAGTTCATCGATACTAACCTTCTGGAGGCTGAGGTACGTCCATATTTATGTGGTTTTCATAACACACCAAACCATTGAAGAAAATGAAAAAAAAAATTCAAAAAATGCTTTGAATCTCGAATGTCGCTCACTCGACACATTCACTCAATAATCAGCAAACCAGTTAGGAAAATGACAAATGACAGTATGACAGACTTCAGAATGACAACAGGACAAAGTAGTTGTGACAAAAAGCCTCACATAAGACACAGAGTTGACATGCCTATACCAACACAATACATGTATTTTGAAGCGGGTATCAGACTATCCTTTTCTGTACAATTTCGAGGGGGGTGGGGTGGAGGGTAATGAGAGGTTATGGAGAATTTGTTTCCATTTGAAGTTAGTTGGACCATAAAACAGTGGCGGTTGATTTACTTGATAATCGGAGGAATATTATATATTTGTAAAATAAATCATTTAAGGTGAAAATGTATTCTGTTCAAATAGTTCCTACAGAATATCTGATGTATTATTAATGATTATGGAAATGGGGCCCAGTTTTTCTACCACCTACTAGATTTTCATTTATGTGTGGCTTTATAATAAAGGGCGTAGTTTACTGGGTTAAAATTAAATTATTCCAAATAAACTAATTCATAACAATGATAAATGTTAATTTCAAAAGTAACGAATTTTGCTTCATAAAATCAGATGAAGAAATTTGTGATTTATTCTCAGATTTTATAAACAAGCGGTACGGTTTGTGAGGTCCTTTATAGAGAATTTTCGATTAGAAATCATGAATATTTATAATTACGGTTAAGGTTTGATATTATTCTGTGATTTCATTCAAAATTGGTATCTAGGGTTTTTTGTAGACCGAAAGGGGATATTTTTGATGTTTGTAATGACCGTGTTTTGATATTCTTCTTATAAATGAAGTTTTTGAAACTATAGGTTTACATTATTTCATTATTTGACATATCCCAACCAGAAAGAGGTTAAAAAATTGACAACCGTCATTTCTTATTGAATATTGTCTGTATGCAACTCGAAAGCCTCGTGCAAAAAAATAAAAACCAAAACGGAGATCATATTCTTTGTATGACGTAAGCTAGTTGTTAAGTGAGCAATAACATATAACACCGGTTGCACAAGAATAACTATTTAGTATACAAACTGAACATTGAGCAGAAAGCTTTTTGATATGTTGATCACAGAATGGATATGACCTATGGCACACATATGAAAAACATATTTTTCGTTTTTGAATATAGTTTTTTTCATTTACATTAATGATTTTTCATAACTATAGAATTCGTCAGCATGAATTATTTAAAAAAAAACATAATGTCGGTCCACAAAGACTCCTAGATACCAATTTTCAATGAAATCACATAATAATATCAAACCTCAATCGTAATTATAAATATTCATGATTTCTAATCGAAAATTCTTTATATCGGACCTCACAAACCGTACCGCTTGTTTATCAAATCTGAGAAAAAAATCACAAATTTCCTCATCTGAATTTTTGAAACAAAGTTCATCAATTTCGAAATTAACATTTATCATTGTTATGAATTAGTTCATTTGGAATAATTTAATTTGAATCCAGTAAACCACGCGCTTTATTATACAACCATACATAAATAAAAATCTAATAGGTGGTAGAAAAACTGGCTGGAACAGAATACGTTTTCACCTGAATTATTTTATAAATATATAATATCCCTCCGATTATCAACTAAACCAACCGCCCCTGCTTTATGGTCCCACTTACTTCAAATGTAAACAAACTTTCCAAAACCCTCCATTACCCGGCACCCCCCCTCGCACATAAGTTGTACAGAAAAGGATAGTACGATACCCGTTTCAAAACACATGTATTGTATTGGTATAGGCACCGTACAGGCATGGCAACTCTATGTCTTATTATTACTCTGAGGCTGTGACATAGGTAACAATGTCTAGTCTTCGAAATTTATTCAGAATTGCCACCTCAGAATACTGAGTTGCTAATCCATATTTTATGTTCAAATTAAAAATTTAAATAATTCAATGATAAATATGTGCGCAAATTTCAAGGTCGAATTCAGAAGCTTGTTTTAGCTCGTAGAACTAAAATCCATGTTATATGTCTAGACGGTAAGCGCAGTAATATAATCGAATTATGAAAACATGATATATAATGTGCTCCGACGTAACGAAGTAACAAAAATATCTAATAGTATTTATTAGGTTTATTACGAAAATTATGAAAGTTACAACCCTGACGTTAATTCATTTTCGACCTTTTGCGCATTTTTCTGTGCACTGTTCAATATGATCATTAGTTTGTGTTCTGCCATTCAATGTCACCATGAAAAAAAAAAACAAAGTCAATACACCACCTACGGTCAACGAAATCGGACGTTTCTCTCTGATTTGAAAGTAAACCCAGAGAGGCATGCGATTTTACTTTCGATGTGAGAGGTCACCTGAATTGAAAACAAGGACCCAGGAAGCAATTAAATTTCGATGGACGTCCCTTCGCCAGAATGCTCAAGTACGTTACTGTCAATTGTGAGCAGCATATTTCTAGGCTGCACCACGCCTTGCTGCTTGGAGCAAATCCACCTCCAATAGAAAAATCTAAAAATCACTGGAAAATCTCAATGTATGATGTTTTCCTTGCGTTGTTGCGAGTATGGTCCTATGGTCCCAAGCTAACCAAAACCTTTGTTAAGGCGAGTTCATATTAAAACGATTGCGATAATATTTTTGCGGTTTCGCAAATTTGCCTCAACTGTCAAAATACCCTGTTCATGTTGAAGCGGGCAATATCAAGGGATTTCATTGTTGAATTTTAAATTTTATTACATAAACGAATGATGACATACGACTCATACGAATTACGACTTTTAAGACCCCATCATATCAGAATATAGGACTAACAATTTTTTCTCAAGTTTTGTTTAATAGGAGCGTGTCCTCAAACCACTTATCTTAACGTTACTGCCTGCAGGGGCGAGGGGTTCTTTTGCAAAATGAGTTTTCTTTAATGAGGGGCCAATAAAATTCAACAATTTATTGAATAATGAGAGAGAGAGCCTGAAATTATTGAAATATTTCTCTGGATCACAAGATTGTGTTATTCTCCATATTTTCTTCTATTTTTGAAAATATTTCCCACTATAAAGACAGGGTTTTCTCAATGAAGCTTTTTACGGAAAAGTTGATATAATTTGAACAACCTGACACGTTCGTCCATTTCGGATTCAATTTCGATGTATGGGCTTGAAAAACGAGAGTCAAAGCAATATAACTACTTTTTATGTTGACGTATAAAATTTTGCGGAAATCGCAAAAAATTCAATTTTAAATCGCACTTTTTATACGATGTTCGTTCCAACATGAACTAGCCTTTATGTATTCTAAAACCAACCGCTGCTGTTATATTCATGAAAGAGTGGTTCCATCCGGTCACCGGATTTATTGTCGGTCACCAAATGCTGTCATATTGAGTATAATGGGAGTAAATAATCAAATGTATAGCAAAGTGTAGAATGAATGTAATTCCCCAACTCTGTTTCAGTAGAGAAGTTGGTCACTTCGATGACAAAGTTTGGGGCTCAAAACTATTTTAGTTTTTTCAAAAACATCATTCTAGTCACCGGATGTTGACAATACTTTTCGAAAATTTTCCATTTATTTACAAATGCCCTAATGAACTAAAATAATGATCATTTCAATCTATAAATATATATTTGTTTTTGAAATTGAGAATTAAATGTGTCCCAGAAATTACTATCAAGGTTTTTTGGGTAACCACTATCTACATTTCCGGATAGTATCGATCAACATTTGGTTACTTTCGGGGTATACCTTCAGTTTGGTCGTAAATAACATGCCAGAACAAAGATAATTTATCTTTGACACCTGACTTTGATGCAGAAAAGTAATGATATGCTGATATGAATACATTGCAACCATTGACACGTCTTATGAAGTTAATGATTGCAAAAGAAAATAGCCAAAAAGTTGTGAGCTACGGACGGCAGGAGTTTGTTGAAAACATATACATGATTATATGGACTGGGCGTGACGTCACTTTTACATATTTTACACCTGCGGATCACCCAACGTCTTGGCCACTGCGTCACAGTATCATGAGACAAATCAAATCCTAAAAATCTTCACATGGCACATGGAAATAAGCAACACGTAAAATGTTTGACGCATCTGACTTGAAAGATTGTGATATGTATGAGTAACGTAAATGCAGGGATGTGTACATTATGCCGCTGTACGTTTCTATCTTGTACTATATCATTAATTGCGATTTCTATCGTTTGACGTTATGATGGAGTAAATTTCTGTGTATTACGATTTCTATCTTGTACATTATGATGTATTAGGTGTCCCCGGATGTGAATCTCTTTATCTTTTTTCAGTTGTTGGAGTCAGTTTTCTCTGTTCAATGGCCAGTCTATATTGCGTCATTGTTGTGTCGTTGAAAGGAATGGCGTCTTTGAACACCTACTGAGGAGAAACTAACCATTTTATCAATAACTCTCTTCTCGTAATCCCATTCGGTTATTTTGATTTAACAGCCTCCGTCCGTTAAGTTTAACGGCCGTCGGCCGTTAACAAATCACTTGTTTAAATATTTTTTCGAAACTTTATTCTGCTTACACTCGACATGATTCTCCCAAAATTTCTGAAGAAATTTGATTTTGTTCCTTAATTTCATCAATGGTTGTTGTTAAAGCGAACTCGTTGACACAAAAAAAACTGACCTTTATAATATTGTGATGTAATCTTTCTGCGGGATTACGAAAAGTCCTGAACGACACACAACCGATACGCAAATAACGGATTGGGTTGTTGTTGTTATAATCCTTGGCAGCGCCTCGGATTATGTTCAACCTCATCCGTTATTTGCTATATATATCGTCTTTCTATTGAGCTCCGTCACGCTGGTACCCGCTTTGAAAAAATCCACTTTTTTTTAGCCTACTTTACCTACCTACCTTTACTAATAAATGAAATTATGTTTTGATTCACTACAAATGCAGATGGAAAATAAGTACTCGATTTTATTCCATTCATTTTTATTGTAACTACAAACATCTAATTTCAGCTACAATCAACTTCATCGTTTGTAGTTTGAGAACAATTGTTATTTTATAATATGAAGTCTTGTTATCGTAGCTTTTTTGCTATAGGTACTTCAAAAGAATATAAAATAAATTAATATTGTGTTGTTACTACAATGAACTACAATCAATTGAGAACCTATTTCAAAACTTTTTAGGGCATTATTAATTGTATTTCGTAGTTTGAATAATATCAATAGTGCTTTCTTAGTAACTGATGAGACTATCAAAAAATGAACTCTACTACAATCATCAGCATCGTTTGTAGTTAAAATTTTGTTCTTGATTCACTACAAATGCACTTGAAAAATACTCGATTTCCTTTCATTCATTTTTGATGTGTTTAATAGTAACTACAAACATATAATTTCAGCTACAATCAACTTCATCGTTTGTAGTTTGAGGACAATTGTTATTTTATGATTTATAGTCTTGTTATAGTAGCTTTTTTGCTATAGTTCAAAAGAATATAAAATATAGTGTATTTAATACAATAAACTACAATCCATTTAGAACCTATTTCAGAACTTTTTGCCACATTATTACTCGTCCTTCGTAGTTAGAATAATGTCAATAGTGCTTTCTCGGTAACCGATAAAACTACATAAAAATGAACATAACTACATTTATTAATATCGTTTGTAGGTAAAGTAGGCTAAAAAAAGTTGATTTGTTTCAAAGCTGGTTCCAGCGTGACGGAGCTCTTCTATTGTTAATAACTAAATTTTGCACTTTACGGAAAAAATTGAAACATCTACCAGATGTATTATATACAAGGTCCCCCATCAGACACGATCATTTCGAATTCGATTCCTTTAAGAGAAGTGAATGAGCCCTTGATAGGTTGAAAATGAACAGTAGATACGAGTTGATTCTGTCGCATGCAACTTTAACTTTAAGATCAATTGTCTACAAAACTCCAGAAAATTGAAAAAAAAAGGACGTAATATGCTGTAATGAGGCACGCCTTCAGTTAGATTTCTACAAATAGAAATATTCCCATCACTTTATAGTTTGTAGACTCCGATTGTTGACCTCGACTCCGCACACAAGAAATCATGACAGATGATATAAAATACATGTATATATGGAATGTGTTTCAATGAACTAATTGAAATCATTTCTTCAACTATTTTATTACGAGATCAATGGAACTATCGATATGTATAGTCTAGAGTAATACTATATTTGGCATCTTGTTTTGGCTACTTCGAAGAAATTTGTTGCACAGACATTCGAAAACCACCACCGGTGAATTTCACTTCCCCGCTGTCTCCTCGACCATTTTTCAGTTCCCGACTAGCTCCGTACATCAGTCTCATGCTCCTGTTTGCCTTTTTTTCTGCTAGATATTTTTTCTTCAAGTCCGCTAATTCTTCAGTTACTCTTTGTAAGTCCGATTTGTATTCGGTTGATTTTAGTTCTGTCATATTCAGTTCGGAAACCAAGCACTGAGAAAAAAAGTTAAAAATAATAATAATATAATCATAATAATAGATACATGAATAAATTCAAAAATATTTCACGGGACAAGCCCAGTACAGAACATAAATAATTAGATATTGTGACAATTAGAGAGAGATAACTACTATAGCAATAATTTTGAGATGATAAGACATTAGATATTTGGTTACACATGTTATATATGCTGTTTATTGACCTGCTCCATTCATATCCAAGGTAACATAAATAAACAAGATCAATGCCAATGCTGACTTTGCTGAATCGACATCTGTCAAAGACTCTTCATTTTCTTTGTTCTATTTTCAAACTATATTATCACCTATTTTACTATAAATACCGTCCTGCGTGACGAAATGAGTTAGGTATACTTACAGTATAATTGCATTCAAGTACACGTTCCTTACATTTGTATTATATTGTGAATTCTGAAAAACTCAAGGGAACATAGTATTGCTTCCCCTCTTCAAAATAAATAATTTTGAAAAATTTATATTTCCAAAGTGAGATATAACAAATTTGCGCAGTTCACGGTAGGATCCCTTATTCAGCACTAGACGGAACAAAGAGCAGCCTAACCGATAATGGTGGATTCCAATGCTTCAAAGGTAGAACCAACAACCTCCGGCCACAGGACCACAGAAGATCGGTCTCTTCAACGGTGGAAGAACACGCGTACGCTAATTACTCCGGAGCAACGCTTGTGAAGTAGGATTGAAAACCGAATATTTATAAGTCAAATGACTTATAAGTCAAATACCTCTTCTACTGTTAAACATCATGGCTAACGCAAACCCTGCACCTGAACCCTACAAACTCAATAAAATTGTCTCAATAACACCTGAGTATGATGGAGATCAAATTTTCATCAACACATTTTTACATGCTTGTATACTGCTTACCGGTGTACAAGATCAATTTTTTCAAATACAAGTTTAAAGGAAAATCAGCTGAACTCATCAGTTTTCGAAACCTTTAAAAAAGAGTCGGTAGTAAATTACTGTTAATCCAATATTTTGGTGACACACGTGATTTAGCCTCTCTGATACAAGATCTTCAAAGAATTAATCAAATGCCCAATCCCCTTTCACCTTTATAAACAGACATCAAACCCACGATGCAATTCAAAAACACCCGCTTACTCCAGAAGAGAAGCAGCCACAACAAAGTTTAATACAAACCATGACCCTAAATACTCTTTTGGCGGGGTTAGAACCTATCATAGGACAAATAGTAAGAGCTGGAAACCCAGCCTCCACGCTCGAAGCTTTTCAAAAACAAGAACAACAAAAATTATCATCCTGCACAAAAAACCACAACCCTTCATTCAACAAAAATTTTCCAATCTTTGTAAAAGACAAAGACACAGTCAAAATGAATGTAGAGCAAAACCACAAAACCCCCAAGCCACACAAAATTTTCAAATTTCCAAGATTAACATACATGTACATTTCACAAGTGATAAGATAAAATAGTACAATTTGCACATTAGCAATAAGATGAAAAGTTCAATAAGCATTATAAAATTATATAAAATTAAATTAAATTATATTAAATTCAATTCAATTATATAAAATTCAATTATAAGAAATAAAATAGGGTTGCATATTGGAAGAACACTTGAGAAGAAAGCCAAAGTATCCACGAGACAACTTGCAGGATGATATAGGTAAGTTTTGAACTTGGGCAATGAGATTCTGAAGAAATCTAATTGTTCATGAGCATTAGCGAGTTTTCGAATACGAAATAGACAGCTATGGTTTCCATAATTTGAGCGATGGAACGGGTCATAAAAAAATTGTTGATGTCTAGTGGTGCGTGGAGATATTTGAAAATTGAAAAATGAGGATATTTCAAATCACTATTTATGATTTTGTAGATGTAGAGTCGGACGGTAGCCGGTCGATTCGACGTGGGTGCTTTGTTCACTCACTCAAATCGACCGCCGTTGGTCGCTGCTTTAAGCCCCAGGCTGAATGATCAAATTTCACGTGCTATCGTCCAAACCATGTTAGGAATCACACATTTATAAGCATACCGTTTGAGTGACACCAGTTTGCAATGTGGTCTAGATCAGCTTGAAGATTTAGTGCTTCGCTGGGACAAGTAGGTCTTCGAAAATATTTTGAGATCATTATCAAATGAGACGATTGCCTGCCATCATGTCATTGACGAAACTATTGAAAAGCAGATAGCCCAAGTGAGAACCTTGCGGAACACCGATGCCACCGCTATAATAATATTCGTTTGCATGAATGAATCAATAAAAACATTGTGAAGTTGAACTAACTGAATAAGTAATTCAATGAAATACGTCATTTCAGAAACATAAAAAGTTCATTATACAACATATGATGTATTTTTTTAATGGATCATTATGCAACATATGAAGTATTTTTTTAATGGATAATTGATTTATTAAATTTTGAAAAAAATATGGATCAGTTGTTCTTAATCATTCCTTCACTTTATTTTTATCAGAATAGAAGGATTTGGTTGATCTGGAATTGCATAATGTTTATATTTTTAGTATTGTGTATATATGAAATTCCTGATGGGTAACTATTTTCATATTCAATTCATTCATTGAGGTCAAATTATTTTCCGATTGGAGTTCGAGTAAAAAAGATAAGTATAAGGTTAATGTACGTAAAAATCAAGGTGTATTATGGAAAATGTTATTGCATAAACTCATGATACACTTTTACCTTCTGAACAATAGTTATAATCAACTTTTTTGTACGGAACGTCATAAATGACGTTCTGGGACACTATTGGTTATGTAAAAGTTGACGATTTTTTTACAATATTATAGTACAAGGACCTATCATTCTCAACGGCTGACTTGAGTTTGTTTCTTTTACTCAGTTCTTCTCAGCTTCTTAGTGTTCATTTGAAAGATAATTATTTTCTTTTACTACATCATTGGGATAATTCTTATCAAAAACAGATATTGTTAAAAAATCTTCGAAAATACAAGTAATCAATAAATAATGCATTTTTATATACTGGCTTGTTCAACTTGAAATTCAACATGGTTTCAACTGAACTGCATATTCTTGTCAAGAAACATAATCGTAAATATATTTCGTCTCGTTTTTACACGTGACTCACCCTGTATTTGATGGAATTATATTTTAAAAATCAGTTTCTGAACATTAATTTAAAGTTACATTGTAATTAACAAACGCATAAAAAACTAACATTTCATTGAAAGATCAAAATTATACGCTTGTTGAATTTACTCGTAAAATATACTTAATTTCATTGGTGTATTTATTGAGTTAAACTGCATGTATTTTGATTATTTTTCAGCTTAATAAATAGTAAATTGGAGTTCCATTTTGCCACGCTCTGAAACAATGTTATCTTCTTCGGAATCAACAAAAGTTCCAAGTTATTTAATTAGTCTGTTTTACTCAGGTGAAACTTAAAATCAGCAGCCATCCAAAATAGAACAAATTTCATAAATAGTCGTTTTTAATATGTCTAACATAACAATAATGATCATTTGAAACAATATAAAGTGTAAAGGCATGTCTTACGAAATTTTCTATACTGTCTTTTTGGGTTTATATTTTTTTACAATCTGAAGAAATAAAAACTAAATCTGCTGAAGTGTACTTAGTAAAGGGCAAACTGACGCGAAACGTCAACCACGTAAGAAAACTAAGTATCGATATTTAGTTTAGTTTTTTCAATTGATTTTTTCAATTAGTAGGCAAAATTCATCAATACTACAAGTTTAACTTCTCAGTAGTTTATATTACGCAGTAACTTTTCGGGGTAAACTTTACAGTTTGCCTTTTACTACACTTCAGTAGATTCTCTATTGATTTAGTTTCTTTTTTTTTCAGATTGTGGAAGGTTATGAACCCAAAAAACAATATAAAATATTGAGTCCTCCACAAAAAATGTATTTTAGAGAAAATAAGAAAATCCTTAGAAAAGTAATAACTACTCACCTTCAGTTTATTTCCCCGAAGTTTCAAAGCTCTCTGGGTTTTTGACAGTTCTTCGTGAATTCCAGGCCCGGGTTGTTTTGACAGCACTTTTCTGAGGTTGAGGTACAGTCTTTCCGCTTCCTTCAGCTGCCTTTCCCGCTCGACAGCCTCCGAACCCTGCTGCAATAACCGCCTGCGAGGTGTTGCAAATTCATATTTATTGTATTTGAGGCAGAGGTTACATAAGTTTGTGTATACGTGAATAGATTGCAATGATTGCATCGATACCAAGGCGTACCGAGGAATTTTTAGTGGTGGCAGTTCGATATATATTCATGGAAAATTAGTAATAATCTGATTGTATGATTGCTGACCCCAAAAAACTTCATAAATGTAACGAAGAAGTTAGAACAGTGACTGATGTTTTATTCTAGGGGATTTGGTAGAGATTATTATTTGGTAAAATGGTTCCAGTGTGGTTGTTTGTTGTCTACTTATATATTCTCTAGAAACGAAATCTCTTGTTATTTTTTGCAGACAGTTCCAAATTCATAAAGTAGATATTCCATTACGAAGCCTTCACTCAACTTCACCATAAATGTAAAGTTGAGTGATACCTACTCAATTAAATGTGAAGTTCATAGAATCAATAATAAATTTCTGTAACCAGTTCATTGTCAATCAAGATATTGGGACTGGAAAAAACATGACAGTAGCCTCAAAGCCAAAAACTACAACACTGGAGAAACATGAAAAATACTAATTTAACCCTTCAATCTGTGGTCAAGTAAAAATACGCTGTCTGTTCAAAAAATAGGGTGAATTTTAATTTTTCTTAAAAAATATTTATCTTGTATTTCATTAGTTCGGACTTCCATTGTCTGATATTATACAACATGATTTGAAATCCCTGAAAGAATTAAAAAAGGAGAATTAAAAATGAACATCTGAAAATAACTATATTAGGCAAAAAAACCTGAAATGAAATAATAGTGAAATGAAATACAAGTAAAAATAGAGAAATTGAACAAAAATAAAAATTCAACATATTTCAAGCTAAGTTACTTCACGACGTTTCGATTGTTGGTATCCACTATCGTCTTCGGGTGATAACTGGACTAATTCCTCCGAGAGATGACTATTTACGGGTCATTCGAGTACTTTCACTTTCTCCGCTTTCCTTTTTCCGCTTCACTGGTTTAGTGAGGAATGACCGTTTGGCGGGAGTTGGCCATTTTTCGCTTGATGATGGGTTTCCATATGTTGCGTATCTCAACGCTAGCTTGGCTGAATACGTTGTTGGACAACATGTATGCGGCTTCTTTGAATTTCCTCCTAAACCAATGTTCCTCTCTGTATATGATCTCAGCTTGGGACCACTCGATGTTATGTTGATGGGTCTAAACATGCTCTGCTATTCCTGATTTGCTGGTTTTCCCTCGCTGTACGTGTTTCTTGTGCTTGGCAATGCGAACATTCAATGGCTACTTAGTTTCACCGATATAGAATTTTTCACATTCACAGGGTATCCGGTAAATGCAGTCCGCATTTGGTGGCCTGGTTTTCGTGAGGCTGCTACGAATAGTGTTTCCGGATCTAAAGCAGGTTCTGACGTTGTATTTGGAACCAATTCTTCTCATCCTTTCCGATAGAACTCTGATGTAGGGAAGTGCAAGCACTGGTTTTGACGGCTTCTCTTCCTCGCGAGGCTCCTGCTGTATTAGACGTATTAGTGAAGAGGACCGACACTAAGTGGGAAACATCTGTATACCAAAAACCCACTCACATGGGACAATATCTGAACCACGAATCCAACCACCATCAATCGACTAAAAGAGGAATCATCAAAACTTTATTAGATCGTGCTTTTGGGCTCTGTAATACGAAGGAAGGTCTCGAGAAGGAACTAGACATCATCAAAAATGATCTTCAACGGAATGGCTACTCCAAAGCGATGGTAGAACAGAGTTTGGCTAAAAGATAGCAGGAGCCTTGCAAGGAAGAGAAGCCGTCACAATCAGTGCTTGCACTTCCCTACATCAGAGGACTATCGGAAAGGATAAGAAGAATTGGTTCCAAGTACAACATCAGAACCTGCTTTAGATCCGGAACCATTATCCGTAGCAGCCACCAAATGCGGATGGTCTCTTAGTTTCACCGATATAGGATTTTCTGCAATCACAGGGTATCCGGTAAATACAATTCTTGGAATCGTAGTCCGCGTTTGGTGGCCTGGTTTTCGTTAGGGTGCTATGGATAATGTTCCCAGATCTGAAACAGGTTCCGATGTTATACTTGAACCCAATCCTTCTTATCCTTTCCGACATTCCTCTGATGTAGGGAAATACAAGTAGTGGTTGTGGCGGCTTCTCTTCCTTGTGGAGCTCTTGCTGTGTTCTAGCTGAAGTCTGTTCCAACATCACTTTGGAGTAACCATTTCGAGACATTCCTTTGTATTTCAGAGCACGAAAGCACGGTCTAGTAGAGTCTTGATGATTCCTCTTTTAGTCGATTGATGGTGGTTGGATTCCTGATTCAGATACTGTCCTGTGTGAGTGTGTTTTCGATATACAGATGTTTCCTATTCAGTGTCGGTTCTCTTCACCAATACGTCTAAGAATGGCAATTCGTTGTGGACTTCCTTCTCCATTGTGAAATTGATGGAAGGACTTTTTTTGATAATCGGCAGTTCAAACTGCCAAGAGTTTTGACTTCATTTCTACTAGCAGAATAAAAGATGTGGGATATTTCATAAAGTTGCATAAAATAAGGTGTTATTCTAAGAGGATTATGAATATTGTGACGTGAATATAACCACTCGTTCACAAATATACCTGGCAGAGGCGCTACTGTTTCATAAATTCTAATCATTTCATTTCTCGAAAGTAGTTTTCCTTCCAGCCATCATCTGGGACAAAACGAATAATAAATATTGAGTGAAGTTGAAGACAAGGCTAGTTATAGGTTAAGAATATCGAATTTTTGAACCCGACTTACTCATGTCTATTTCTTTAAATCAATTTATTTCCGGAATCAGTTATGACCAAGAGTGGTTGTGTAATCATCAAGTCGTGGAAGGAGATATTATAATGTGGGTAGGTACATAAGCGATAAAATAAAAGGTAAGTATAAGGTTAATGTACGTAAAAATCAAGGTCGATTATGGAAAATGTTATTGCATAAACTCATATGATACACTTTTACCTTCTGAACAATAGTCATAATTAACTTTTTTGTACAGAACGTCATAAATGACGTTCTGTGACACTATTGGTTATGTAAAAGTTGACGATTTTCTTACAATAGTACAAGGACCTATCATTCTCAACTGCTGACTTGAGTTTGTTTCTTTTACTGTTCTTCTCAGTTCCTTAACATTCATTTGAAAGAGAATTATTTTCTTTCACTACACGTGTTAGGAATCACACGTTAAAAGGTAAGACCTCGTTACTTACATCAGCTTTACTTAGTGTAGTGTTTACTTATAACTTTAATAAATGAATGAACAGCGGAAATAGATTACTCTTTTTCAAAAATATATTTACTTCTGAAGTAGTTGGAAAAGTGATTTTCCAGAAAAAAAAGTTATATGAAGAAATGTGAATTATGTCAATAGCATAATTCACATTTCAAAACTCCTTTGACATCTGTCGTATAAGTTCAGAAATAAAAAAATCAGCATTCAGCAAAGGAATAACTTCATATATATTTGCATTTTGTTAATTTCTGAAGACGGAGGCATATTTTGGCCTCCGAAATGTTGAGATAAGTATTGTATTATTTCTTAGCAATTTGTTTGATAGGCAAAATGATTGAATACGACAAGTTACTGATAAGTAGAACAAATTTCTTTGTGAAAATTACTTTGATTTTACGCAGTAACTTATCGGGGTAAACTAAAAAGTTTGCCCTTTCTACACCTATATAAAATTCTCCATTGAAATTCCCATATTTTTCAGATTGTGGAAGGTGAAAATACCCAAAAAGGTCGATAACAAACTGATTTTCCTCCTCAAAAATGTCTTTCGTTCAAGAAAATGAAATGTTCTGCAAGAAACATTGGCGGTAGATGTTTCGCAAATTAGCATCCAGTATTTAAAGTAATTTCAAATTGAAATAGATTTTTTCGAAAGACCTATACTTTTTTCATTGCAGATTTGGTTCAGCTATAAATATTTTACTCATACTCACTTTTGTAGAATTTGAATCTTTTGAAGTAGATCCAGAACTTCAGGATCAGAACCTTCTAATTTTCTCCAACGGTGAATATTCAAAGGATTTTGAACCTCTTGTTCAAGAGCTTTGCATTTCAGCCTACTTTTCGTCAAGTCGCGTTCTAAATGAAATATTTCTTGACGTAAATCCACCATGTTTGACATCGATCTTGAGATTAGGTTTTTTTCTTGTCTCAACCTTTTCACTTCCAATTTTAATAACCGGATATCGCCTAATCTCTGATCATAATGAGTTTCTCCTAAAAAAGCAAAAGAATTTAAGATAAGTTTTTATATAGCCAATTATAAGTTTTGTTTATTTGATTTCATGTTTTCTATAACCCAAAAAGATATGCAAAAATATGATAGAACTGACCGATACTTGATGAAAATCCATTATAACGTTTGTTTGAAAGTGGTTAACATTGTTTCACCGGTTTAGCGAGAGTTGACAGTTTTCCGCTTGATTGCAGGTTTCCATATGTTGCGTATCTCTCTCTACATTGGCTTAGCTGAATCTGTCGTCAGACAACATATAAGCAGCTTCTTTGAACGTTCTCCTAAACCAGTGTTCCTCCCTATGGATGATCTCAGCTTGGGACCACTTGATGTTATTTTGATGAGTCCAAATGCTCTGCTATTCCCGATTTGCTGTTTTTTTTTCTCGCTGTGTGTTTCTTTTGTGCTCGGCAATGCGGACTTTCAATTGCCTCTCAGTTTCACCGATATAGGATTTGCCACACTGGTTGTGGCGACTTATTTTCCTTGCGAGGTTTTTGTCTTCCAACCAAAGTCTGTTCCAGACCTGTTCTGTTCGAGTGAGAGTTATGTCTGAGGAACTATGTCTGCCAATTAGTAAGGTGACATATTTTTCTCTAATCGAATCACACCTGCAATATGGTATTGCATTTTGGGATTATTGCAGCAAGCAATTGTTCGATTCTGTTTTCGTCCTACAGAAACGAGCAGTCAGATTCATGTTCAGAGCTAAATACACCGACCATTGTGAAACGTTATTTATAAAACACAGAATTTCGTCTTTAATTTCCATTTTCATACTTGAAACTGTATGTTTGGAGCATAAGTACAAGTCCAACAATTTGACACCCTATTAGAGAGAAATCTCCATTCACCATATTTTTCGAAAAAAAGTCAAAAAAATACTTTTGCTCAAATCCTATTATACCCTACAGGAGATTTACGATAATGTATTGTGATAAATTTTTGCCTTATTACCTTATTGCCTTATTTTATGTACTATTTACAAATTTAATTATAAATAAATTCATTCTAGATTATAATGAGCTATGTAAATAATTTTCTTTACGATGATGCTCACTTTTTGTGTTGTGAAAATTTTTGTATTTGTCGACCTGTGGTATATAGAATACTATTTGTCAAATTTAATTATGTACTGATTATAGAAAGCTTTGTCAAGGTCAATAAGAATATCTTTTCTTGGACAATAAAGTATATTGATTGATTGAGACCTTCTTTCGTATTACAGATCTTGAGTCTTGATAATTCCTGTTTTGGTAGATTGATGGTGTTTGGATTCGTGATTCAAATACTGGCCCGTGTTTATGGGTTTTCGGTATACAGATGTTTCCCATTTAGTGTCGGTTCTCTTCACTAATAGGTCTATTCGTTGTGGACTTCCTTCTCCATTGTGAAGGTAATGGAAGGTTTTTTACAGTGTTGATGTGCTTCAGAAATGTGTCTAGTTATGTATTCTCATGGTCCCAAGCTGAGATCATCCATAGGGAGAAACACTGGTATGAGAGGAAGTTCAAAGAAGCTGCATATATAATGTCCAACGACGCATTCAGCCGAACTAGCGTAAAGATACGCAACATATGGAAACCTCTTATTATGCGGAAAACGGTCAACTACCGCTAAATCGGTGAAGCGGGCTGAAGAAACAGGTAATAGGTGAAAGCGCTCGAATGACCTATAATCATCTCTCGGAGAAATAGTCCAGTCATCATTCGAAGACGATTGTGGATACTAGCAATTGAAATGTCATGAAGTACCTTGGTTTGAAATCTTTTTCAATAACTTTTTCAATTTTCAATTTTTTGCCTAGTTTCATTTTCTTAGTGTGTGGCCATTTTCATCTTTTATCTGGATTATTTTATTCGTTTTATTGTATTTTTATTTCACGTTTCAATGCTTAATATAATTCATATTTTCCCTTTTCAAATTTTATTTGTTCTTTCACAAATTTTGAATCATTTTAGACGATGGAAGTCCAAACTAGTGAAATTCACCATTATAACGTATTCAAAAAATACACTCCAATAAGAGATTTTCTCTTGAAGTTTACAAAACCGCGACACGTGTTTCTCTATACAACAGCATATCCGGGCATCACATAGATTCTATGGAATAGCGAAACACGTTTTGTGAACTTTTCATTGGAAATCACACATTGAACTCTGTTTTTTGAATAAGATTCACAAATTTCTCAAGACTATTGTCATAAAGTTACCTCGATTTTTTCATTTTATTGTATTATATTTTTATTTCACTTTCTATTTTTTGTAGGGAAAGGTGGGGGAATCACGGACGCGGGGTAATCGCGGACGTGTATGTTTCACTATGTTGAAAAAAATGAAAGATATTCCTAGTGATGCATCGTGAGTCCATCCCAGAAGTATTGCCGTACAATAAGTGGTGAAGTGACGACGCGCTCGTTTTACAAGGTATGTTTATTTAAAGATGTATCAACAATTTCATATATATTTTTTACTAAAATTGAATAAGTGTATAATATTTTAGGTATTACAAAGAAATATCAGGTCATTTTTTTCCTAATTATGTATCATTTAACAATGTTTTTAGGGAGTGACCGCGTGCACCACGCTATTCTAAATTTGAATAAAAATATTGGTTTGTGGTATTGTGTGTGTTGGCTGATTGCGGATGATTTTAGCGGGTAATCCCGGCCATCCGCAATTAACCCTACACATCGTATAGTTCATATAGTTTATTTTATATCCTTTTTTTATTATATATCCTTGTTTTCTGCCCTGTATCTATATGGAATTGTAAATGATGTATTTTAAAATATACTTATACTTACCTGACTACATGTCACGAAATTACCAAAGAAAGACTGAAACTAAATACAAATTAGAAGACAGAAAATGCTATTCAGGATATTAAAAGTAAAACACTTTCATTCGGAAAAGCAGCTGCTATTTATTCTATACTGAAAAGTAGTATACACGACTATCTCAAGAAAGAAGTTATAAAGGAGCCAAAAACTGGCAGAAAGGCTATATTTTCTGAAGAACAAGAAAGAGAGTTGGAGGACAATATCATGAAATGCAGTCAATTATTTTATGGTTTGACGATAGAAATGGTACCAAAAATAGCATTCAAATTTACCGAAGTAAATAATTCAAAGCACAATTTTGACAAATGGCAGGAAAAAACTGGTTCTATGGATTTAAGATAGCAGCCGTAAGTGATTCAGGTTGAGTCAACGAGAACTTATTTGTAGATTGGTTACACCACTTCATATCTTTTGCTAATCCATGGATGGAAAGAAAAACGAGTATTATTGCCTAATTTGTAATGGAAATTATGAAGATCCACCTAATGAAGACTGGATAAAAAGCTACAAATGTAATTTATGGGCCCACGAAAACTGTACGAGTGGTGAAAGTACATCACGAGGCTTTTAGTAATAAATAGGTGTTCGCAATTACCCCGCTCTCTCCTATGTGATTGATATTTCACTTACTGCTTAACCATTAGCAATTCATTTTCGTTTCAGATCGTTAGAGTTACAATTTTTGCTATTTTTTGATTACATTCGTTTTTACCTAACTCTGCCAAAATTTCAACATTGAATTCAATTTTATTTAATTTATTCTTCCATAGATTTCGAACCTGTTGACACCCTTTCAAACAATGGAAGTCAGTGCTTGTTATATTTAGTGTCTATACATTTTGTAATTTGAATTACAAGCCATAAATTTCTCACAAAGGACTTACCTCTTGCTAAAGTTGCTTGCAGAATTTTTATTTTTTCATTCAGCAAAACAATTTCGTCGTTTCTTCTCACTAACTGTGACCCAAGTACATCTCGCTCATTCATCAATTGATCAAGATTTTTAGCCTGCTCTCTAATTGTTCTAATATTATTCTGAAAAAAAGTTGAGTTACTTCAGGAAACATATCGTCGTTCGCTGTTTTCTTAACCATTATTGATGTGTGTAACCGTTTTTCTTCTTCCCTCAGCTCCTTAATCTCGACTTTCAACGTTCGTATATTGTCCAACCCTGTCATAACTTCTATTCTGAAAAAAATGAAAAAAATATTTTCGCTGAGTAGTAAATATCATTTGAGAATACTTTAAATTTTCTTTTTCCTTGGTGATCTTTCTCATTATATTCTCGTCTTTAATGAGGAGCTTTTCTTTCATTGAAATGTCCTCTTTCAGCTGTTCGATTTGATGAAAGACTGTTTTTAATTTCTTTCTCAACTCCCAGCATTCTGCACTAGATTCTTGAAGGGATTTTTGCAAGGCATTTCGATCAGCCCTCATAGCTTCGTATAAATTTTGATGTTGCCTGATTTGGTTTTCTTGTTCAGCTGCAGTTTTTTTCAAATCAAAAATATGAGCCTAAAAATAAAATGAAATAATTTCAGTTTCTCTAAAGCAAAGTAACATGATTTAATCACCTTCTTCAGTCTTATATCTTCCATATTTTCTTCGATAGTTTTCGTCAAGTCCAGCTGCTCTTCTGCTAATCTATCCCTTTCTCTTTCAAGTTGATTTATCGTTTTCTTCTGTTTCCCGCTTTCAATGAAAAAACTATCGAGTTCTAGTTCCAATTTCTTTTTGGTCTGTTCATGTATATGTATGAGTTTCGTCTGATCTTTTTGAACAGCTTGCTGGCGTTGCAATGTCTTATTGAGGACGTCTTTTTCCTTGATGAGTACATCAATATTTCTTTTATCTTCGTCGATATATTTTTTGAAATCGTCGATTTCTTTTTCAAATAATGCTATTCTTTGGCGAAGATTGTTGCGGTCTGATATAATATCATCTTTTTCCACGGTCATTGCAAGGACTTTTTTCTCGAGACCTTCTCTAATTTTCACAAGTTTAACAATCTCGTTCTTCAAACGCTGAGTTTCTTCATGGTAAGACTAAAAGATAGAATATTTTGAATAGAACTGAAAACATAATGAGAATAATGTAAATAGTTATATTTTACCAGAGGAGAAAATCTGAAACGCCAGGAGTTAGGGTAGAAAGGGGTAATGGGGATCACTTAAGCAATAATTGAAATAAAAAAATGAAATTGAACTAAATTTTTATTGCAATCGCGCTTCATAACAAAATCTACTCAATTAGCTATCATTTGAGATCAGTAATCATCAGTTTGATAATCATCTTTGGGAAATATAAAATAAAAAAAAACTATTTTGATTCCCATTGCAGTGAGGTGGGGTTAATTGTGGTCACCTTGTGGGCAATGAGATCATTCAAAAATCTAGCACAAATCGCATACATAACTCTTGGCAGATTCCCACCCCGTACAATCTGCGTGAGCCCATACATCTCCTGAAAAAACACTTACTCCGCAAAAACTGCTATAGAAGAATTTTTTGATTAGGAAACTTGAATTTTAAATGGAATATGTAGGCAATATGCTTCTAATGTATATGCGAATTAATGTGTATTTATGTATGTAAACATGTATGTGTATTTATATTTATGTGAATATTTATAACAATTTTTTCAATCTGTATTGTATTATGTTGTTATATTACCTTTTGACATTTTTCACAATTTTTCTGTATTTTCTCACAAGTTAATTGCTGAAATAAACAAAAGGAAAAAACTACATGAGGTACACCTGTACCAAACATCATCATTTCGGCCGAGTTCGTACAGATTAAGCACGTAATCCCTGCGTTGTCAGCATCATCTAGCTCATCGTCTTGGCATAAATTATCAGTAGCCGTAGCAACATCTGAAACAGATATATCATTTGATTCCTGGAGAACCTTTTTCTTTACAATTTCGGTTCGGTTGTCCTTTTCCCTTATTCTTGACTGGGCAGACGGTTTTACTTTTCTAGTTCTCTTTTTCTATCAAGTTTCCTTTTTCTGTCAAGTTTTCTTTCATTGGCGTGGATGTTGAAATTTTGGCATGCTGCTTTTGGCGACTTTGTCTAGGATTGGGGGTATTGTTTTCTTTGACAACTTAATTAATTTCGACACAATATCAAGCCTAGAGACTGCTGGAGCAACTTGTTTTGATGTGCCAGGGACTGGTGAAAATACTGGACCAGGTGCTAGTGAAACACTTTCCACTGATGAAATGGTAATTTACGTAATGGGGCGTGTTGCGTACAATATTTCTTTGGCAACCGTGTAGAATAACAAATCAATGAAACACAGTTCTGTATTATTTCTTTCTAGAAAAATTTTTCGAACATTTTAATTCTTATTTGTATTAAATAATGACTCTCGAAGAACAGGATATAATACTAACAGAAATATTCTATTTTTTATTTATATTAATATTTATATGAAAATTCCAACAAATGCTGATATTGAAGGGATTTAATTTGTTCGCTGCTACTTTCCATAGTTTACTGCGATAATTGCGATAAATACAATTTCTTTGTAATTAGAAAAAAATGTATTGTCTCAAAGAGCATATGGTGAATAATAAAAGGTACCTTCAATCATCAGGTTTTTTTCAAATTACTACTCAATATTCGGGGTGTCACTGAAAATATTATATTAATATTTGGAATCATTAGCAAAAACGTTCGGTCATTAATATTAGGTATTGTTCAATACTCAACGTTTCGCCCATAACTACGATGTGCATCTTCAGCGGTGGCACCTAACCGCCGCTGAATATGCCCATCATGGTTGAACGAATTTCCATTAGTTCCAGATTCGTCAGAAAACTTCAGATATTGTTTATATATGGTGTCAACCTTTTGCTAGTATTTTTGCTAGTTTATATGGTGCCAACCTTTTGCTAGTATTTGAAAAAAAGCATTTTTTCTTCTCAATCTTTATTCCAAAGATGTGGAAACGGAAGAAAGGAAGAAAGTCATCAAGTTCAAATTGAACTCTTCACAATGTTGTGTAGATTATGCATCCGATACAACCTAGAAGAGAAAGTTCCCTTAGAACAATTAATTTCATATGAACATTGAATTGCACAAAAATTACTTTTCCCCATTCAGTTTGTATTCCAAACATTCGTTATGGTATTAAAACAGATGTCATTCACAGAAACGCTACACAACATAATATGTGAAATATTATCGACATAGAATTTTCCCTATATGGAAATCTACTATCCTTAAGGTGTATTTCTCGACGTTTCGAGTTAAAAATACTTATTTTCGATACCTCATCAGCACCTTTTTGAACTTTCAACGACGAAAACACACAAAATTAGGATTTTATGTCACCAGAAGGGACAAACCTTCTGATGTTACGATGCGATGATAGTACGTAAAAACATTCATACGGTTATTTGATTTAATCGCAACCATAGAAATTGCGTTTGAATCAAAAGAGGGATATTTTCAAGGACTGATTAATTTTTGCGAAAAAAAGATTTTTGGCTTTCTACTTCTCAATTTTAATACGAGAAATATGGGAATCTTCCAAAGAAGAGAAGAAAGTAATTAAGTTCAGAATAAACTCTTCACGAAGGCGTATAGATGTAAATTGAATATTTTTTATAAAGATGAAGAATTTGATCTTCGACGTATAGATGTAGATTCCATATTTTTTATGAAGATGGAGATTTTGATCTTCGAAAAGTTTTCAATGCGGTTAATCACAGAATTTTCGTGTGCGAAATATAGTGGAAATTCTGCATAGGTTTCCATAAAATGAAAAAATTAAAATTTCAAGAACTCTCTATTGAAATCACTTTTACCTCACCAGAACAAAATTGCTGTCTCTCGACGGACGTTTCGCCAACCAAGTTAACACCATCAGGAGATGAATAAGTCTAGGTGATGCTAACTTAGTCAGTGAAACTCGAGTAGATAAATAGCAATTCTGTTCTGGTGAGGAAAAAGTGTTTTCAATAGATTCATTTCACACCAAAAGTTCCAATTTTCACGTATCAAGCTCAAGTACTCCTTAGTAAGTGTATACAGTGTAGTCATACTTTTCAGCTTTCGAAAGTGGCTTCAAAATCGAAGCTGAAACGTCAAACAACCGAAAACTATAGACGTGGTTCAACTTGGACTCTCAAATCTCAGATGAATTCCTGACATGGGTCTATTGGATTAAACTGAAAGGATTTTTCAATTGTTTCATCGTTAGAACTATCGGCTTCAATAACCTAGACGTCTGTTCCAAATTTCAAATTTCCCACAAAGAAGTAAATGGCGCCGTATAGGTACAATGATTTCGTTGTTACCCGGTATAGTTAGTTTGCCACTCCATTATTAGGTCGGTCATCTCAAGAAGTTGAACTATCGTCGTGAAGTAATAGTTTTTCCATCCTGCTGATGTATTTAGCAAATGAAAGTAGGAAACTTCAAAATGAACTTACAAACATGCTGTTTAATACGTACTTTGATATCTAACATTTTTTCTTGTAGCTGTTTTTTGGTTTTCTCGGTTTCGAAAAGGGAATTGTTATAGTCATCCTGTAGTTTTGATAGTTTATTTACAGTCACTTCTAGATCTTTCGACACTTTATCGTGAGCTGATTTCACCTCTCTGATATCTTGCTCTAACCGTTGTACCAATTTCATATTTTCAGTTATAATTGAATTCAAGTCTACGGATTGTGCTTCTTTCTCTTCAAGTTTGAATTTCAACTCTATTATATCATTTTCAGCCTTTTCTCTGGCTCTTTTATGACGATTGATTTCACCAGTTTGGTCCTAAGAAATATAGGTTAGAAAATAAGCAGAATAACTATTCTAGTACAGTGATTTACCTCTATCTGACCAGATATTTCGTTAATTCGCATATCAGCTTCAGAGTTTTTCCTTTCTAGTTCTTCTTGATAGCCCAGAGCATTTTGTAACTTCGTATTCAGCTGCGTCACCTCGTTTATAAGGCGATCCCTTTCTCTTTCTAATCCATCTTTGTGTTTACTCAGTTCACCCACTCTGGAAAAGAAGCAGAACATAATTGAGGGTCGTGGTGAGTAGAGATATAATGTATGCCATTTTTACCGACTTCTCCAAAGCATTGTTTAATAATATCAAAAACGGTTTCAATAATTGTCAATTCCTAATGCGCATTTTATTGCGAGATTTCAACTGAACAGTTTACAAAACCGTAACACTTGTGTCACTATAAAATAGCGGTTTTGTAAACTGTTCAGTGAAAATCGAACAAAAAAATGTTACTTGAATATATTATTGACTTTCAAGTATCGGCTAACTTTATCACATAAGTTTCTAATGTTTGCCGTTGACGTAAAGCTGTCCTATGACGATCAGAAACTCGTTTAACAAGATTTTGGCTTTCCACTTTGAAAAGTTAAAAGGAACTTTGATATAGCATATAGTGTGAATAATTAACCGTTGAAACACAAGCCTTCTGTGAAAGATCTGGGAGTACCTTTGGATGAACAAATCTTATTAAAAATATCAGTATTGAATCCTTAAAAGTATTATGTATGTTTATTCGCAATTGTTGAAATTTCTTGGTGGAAGCATTTTAGTCTAAGATCCCAGTATAAAACGACCTTCACCGAGCTAGTTAATGGATGAAAAGTATTTTATATGAAATCAAATATGTCAATAAATATATTGTAAATGGGCTGACTGAAAAATTTCGGTCCAGAATATGATTAATCAACAATTTTTTTTAACATTTCACTGAATTGGTGAACAGGCAAATTCCATAACAATGGAAAGTATGAAGCTTATAGAATATGCATACGTCAAGTTCACTAATTTTTTCCCGTCACAAGTTTTAGGTAGACAGGTATAAATAGGTAAATCGATACTAGTAACGTGCACTGGTCTGGTTAATGAATTGAAGTTTTGTTAAAATAAAGATTATTTCATTACAAACACGGTGGTATGGGGTTGTATGCGAAAAATCAGTCCTGAATTCCGGTTGTCGAGTTTTTGAAAGTGAAATATTGCTGCGAGGGAATACGTGCTCCCAACCACCGTATAGAAGTAAACTTTTTACGAATTGAAAAAACGTGCTACCTACTATTTTTTGTTGTTGAAAACTGGCCAAAAAGTGTTTTTTGTGTTATTCGGATGATGTAATTGATTTGAATAATGAAACTTTTAAATACTGTTCATTAATAATTGAATGGAACTGGCCGATACTTGATGATGATGAAAATCCATATTAAAAAACTAATTAATGTATGATTTTCACTATAGAGGGTTTATGCTTGAGAAAGCTATTCGAAACACGTGTCGCGGTTTTTGTACAGGATGTATTCAGATTTATATTTTTTGTTAGTAAAAATGAATAAATTTTGCTGAGGTTGTCGATGTCTGTCTTTTTGTTGATATTGTTTTCTTTAATTTTGATTTCAGCCATTTCCAGAAATTGCCTTTTATTTGATCTGGTTCGAAATGGAGAATTTTGGTGTTAGTATAATTGGCTGAATGATCATTATCTAGAACGTGTGGTGTGAGTGCACAAGAATTTCGTTTTAAATTTTTACAATTACTTTTATGAAGAGCTATGCGGGTGAAGATTTGGTAGAGAATATCATGAGGCATTGCAGAGAAATAACTCCCGAGATTCTCAACCACGTGAGAGCGGCAATGGAAGCTCGTTTGTACCATTGTATGGAAGATGGTGGAAACGTTTTTGAACATTTACTATAGAATTTTTTTTCTTCTCATTGTCCAGCCATCAGATTTTCATTCAAGAATTTAAAAAATCTCTTTTTCCGATTTACTGCTTCCATATTTGTCTCTAGAACGAATATTTCAAAATGTGGCCTCCTGTATAATTGATGACCTGTTTTTTTTAATTTTTCTTGCAAAACATTGTTTCAAAAGTTATTCAGGGGGGCTCGTTTTCAACTCAAATAATTCGTAGCTTCCGAACCATAAGCTTCAGACCATATATGTTTTATACTTTGTTGAAATCTGCCCATCATGGAGCATCTAATAATGCGAAACACTATACGGTGATCCATTTAAAAAAAATTGGTAACATGCTCTGGTGGTGCGATAGGGGAAGTAACATCATATATGAATATGTCAAAATGTGTTCCCTGTATACTATGGTTAATGTGTTTTTTTATTTTTCCTGAAAATCATTGTACCATAAGTTATTAAGGGTGGCTCGTTTTGAATGAAATGCACTGTATCTGTTTCTGTTTCAATTTGATTAGGACAGTGACAGTCATTGAAATTGTGAGAGTGGTACATAACTCGTATGACTCAAGAATATTTACACGAAAAATCGTAGCAAAAAAAATTACGATTTGACTTTTGCATTGGTTGTCATTTCTTTCAATGGTACTGATTCTAGTTGTTTTGTTAGGTAACTCTGTTCACAAAACATTTGGAAGAAGAGAATTACTCAGTTTGCAATTAAAATGCTGTGAACGTTCAACATTGAATGCGAGTTTCATACGTGTCCAAAATAACGGGCTAGCATGTGAAAATCGGATAACGTAAGTACTACACGGTTGTTGGAATACGGAAAAAGTTTCCTATTTTAAAGCTTATTCAAATGACTTTTAAAATTGAGCTAATCCCGATTTGTGTGATATACTAGTGAAGCAAAAAAGGCTAACTTATACCGGCTAATTCTATTTGCCGAAACATTAGAAAAATTACAACTGGTGATGAGTTTTTAGGAGATCTAACGTCGAATTGAAAATCTGTAAACGTCATCTAGTACAGTTCAATGAGCACTGATTTTTTGTTTTTCAATATCCTCATTAACGACGCCAAAAAAACTTTGAAAAGAAATTAGCTAATATAGTTATCGCGAATATCTCCGAAAATAATGGGAATTTCCTAAATTTTCAAACGTCATTCAAATAAGCTCTAAAATGTTTGTTTGAAGATACCTAGGTGACAATGTTTCATGGTGCATTTCATTAGTTTGTACTTCCATTGTCTAATATGATATAAAATGATTTGACATCCCTAAAATAATAATTTTTTTAGCCAATCTTTTTAACTCAATTGATTCTTTCAGGGATTTCAAATCGTTTTATATCATATTAGACAATGGAAGTACTAACTAATGAAATGCAAGCTCCAAAATGGACAACTTTTTTCTAATTCAACGAATATTTATCTCTCACGGTTTCTACTTGCTGATCCACCTTTGGACAGTGTCGGGGAATCACATATGACATTTTCCTCGCAGTTGATTCCTTAATAGCTGCTCAAATTGATACTGCCCGGTATTTGCTGGAACGACTCAATATCTAACGTCATTGTCGTTATAAGAAATTATTATGTTTGGTCTTTGTTTGATTGAAACTCAGTAAAATTCAAAAGACATATAGATGAAAATAAGTAAACCACTTACTCATCGGTATCTTGATTCATTTTATTCTTGAATTCAATTTCAGCATTCAAATTTTCCACTTGTTTTCTCAAATTGTCGATTATTTCTTGTGCTAGTTGTTCTCTAGCGTGAGCGCTATCTGCTAATTTCCATGCCTCATTAATTTGGATTTTCAATTCTTTGATGGTTTTTGCATCTTCTTCGACAATTTTTGACATTATCGACACTTTGTTGTTTTTATTTTCAATTTCTGAAGCTAGGTTTTCAGTTTTCTGTTCCAAATCTTGTTTTTTTGTGTACGTTTGGTAGAAATTTTCGAATAAATTGTTGTAGTCATCGGCAAATTGGGCAGCCTCAGGATTCTGTTCCATTTCTGCCAGAGTCTGAAACAATTTACTGAACCTGATGATTCCAAAAACGAAAAGTTTTCCAATATATGAAACTCTTTATCGCCGAGAGGTTGCTACCATCACAGAGATTTTGTGATACCCATAGTTTGATAGACATTTCACTTGTCTGTGCAACACTGGTTCATTTTTGGATATCGTATCGGATGCTAACCATTCGCTTATTAATTTCTTACTATATGAAATGATTCTGGGGTAAATTTGTTAGAATCACTTTTCATTTCATCCGTGAGCTCTAGAATAGACTGTGGTTGTATAAATTATACTTCGAAAGTCCCCACAAAAAATCTGAGACACCTAAAGTGTATGATACACAATACCGCAGTTCATTTCAGAAGAGAGAAAAAGAGTTACTTGCAACAATATTTTTCCAGGAATAGTTCATAACGTAAGAAATGAATTTGTAAACAGACTTCATTATTGTCAAGAAGTGAGTGGTTTTGATCATTTATTGGCATAAATTGGAGTGAGTTTTGATTTATTTTTTCTTGAAATTATAATATTTATCATTTGTTTGTTAGACTCTCAAAACGAATATAAATCTGATGATTACTCAAGAAAATTGAGATATCAATATCATTCGAGGCATCATAAGACCTTTATTTATATTTAAAAAAAATGGTAGCACCCTCTCGGCCACGAGTAACGTAACACCATTGTATTTCTTTTTGAAAGTTATTAGAAGTTATGCCTTTTTGAGTAAATTTTGTTCGATCTTAATATTTTTTCCCATTCAATAGTCAAAAGGGGATGCTTACATCCGCATTGTATACAGTGCGGATGTAAGCACTGCAAAACAAAACCAAACAGGGTCATATTATTAGAAACTGCGTCAACATTTTAGGCAAGCGCAGAATCCTTCATTCGATTTTTTACGAAAGACTACTATTCCAGTGTCTCTGACTCCACTAATGGCTCTAACCCTTATAATTTTCTTTAGTGCCGTTAACTGCGCTACTGGCACCAACTCGAAGTCTTGTGGGATGTCGTTCAAAAACCCTTGTGTTCCATAAACTTAACGCCTTAATCTTCTCTCACAAAGAAATCATGGGACGACCATTCAGTGCTACCTTTTCTTCCACTTCAGTTGTGATTAAGGTCATTTTATGTTTCAAAACGATGATGTTCTGCATTCTGTTTTGATTATTCGTCATTATTTAGATTTTCATCAACATGTTCCACATTGGATTTGAGGCAGAGGCCTCTAGGAGATCCAGATTTGTCGCTCCAAAAGGCCAATATGATATATATTCATTTTGAAAAATGAGAAATAAAACTTCCTATGATTTTTTACCACTTGTATTTGTAACTAACGTTACTGCAGTTTCGTCCTATAAGGACATTCTCAAACTAATTATTGTATTAGTTTCATGATCTCTTACCACGTAGTAACCGCTACATATATCAATTTACATATTTATTTGATCATCAATCAGTATCAATAACTATATTAAATATTGTTTGAAAATAATTTGCTAGTATATACTTATTTGATTATGAACTATTAGGTAGGTAGGTACTCTAAGGATTAAGCATCAATGGGAAAACCGACCAAAAATATTGTGTATACTGAGTTTCAATAATGTTTCTATTTAAATAGGTGAATGTACGTACCTTATTGAATTTTCTTTCAATAATAGGAAAAAAGTGATCAGGATTTTCAGGATCAAGAGTTTCTTCTTTTCCCTCATCTCCCTCTTCATTTCCTTCACTGAAGTCACTTTCATCCATTTTGATAATTTAGAAGAGTAAACCAATCTTTGTAGTAAAAATAAATAATTGCTAATATGTCAATTCTCTTCAAAGTGGATTGACATAAACGACCATTTATTTCCATGGAATCCATTTCAAATATATATGTTCTCTTATAATGTATATGTGGTTACGACAGACAACGTATTATTGATCAAACTTGATATATTCAAAGTGTACAAATATTTATATAGAGGTTCTTACGTTCGTTACAAGTAAGTTTGAGAACCGGTTCTTTCCTCTAAAGCAATTAGAATTGGTTGTGAAATAATACTTATTTTTAAAACGGAAAATCTTTTAGCTGATATCGATAAGAATTCTTGGCAGAAATAGGGATACAGCGTTCTTTGAACATGAATATCACATTGAAATATCTGATAGAGAACGTTTCATAAAATCAATTAGGTACAGGAAAAAACATAAAAATTAAAAACAAAATTTTCGTAACCCCAAGCTCTCTTTTGAGTCCTGTTATATACTGTTTAGTTGGGTTAGGTTAGGTTCAAAGTGAGTGGGTCTATTCGACCCTCCACCGCAACCCGCAAGGGTTTATTGTGGCTCACACCTATTCAAACTCGACCAAATAAAACCAGCTACTAAACGAAAAGGATTAGTTGGTATTATGAGTGGTCTTTCAGGTCTGAGAGTACAGCTCTGCCGAAGCTTTGAAGGGTGAATAAACGCCTTGAAATAAGCCAATCCTGAAACATTCTGCCAGAAGTCCATAAATCTTCTTGCCATCCAGGTGTTCAATCTTTGTTTGGAAAAACATAAAGCGATGCCAATAACAGGTTCTGGTCCGATGAAGCTGCTTGCAACACCCTCCTTTGTATTAGAGTCAGCAGCCTCATTGCCTTCCAGATCAGTATGGCCAGGAATCCAGACCAGAGACAATCTGTTAAGTCTTCCTATTGAAGAGAGTCGTTTTTGGTAGATGTTGCTCGGTAGGAGCCAAGAGCTTCCAACGCCGCTTGACTGTCCGAGAATATTTTTATTGACTTGTGTATGAGGTTGAATTCTTCCAATCTCTACGCACACAATTCAATAGCGTAAATTTCCGCTTGAAATACAGTCGCATAGGTTCCTAGGCAGATTGATATCCCTGTCTTGGGTCTGCGACTGAAAACACCTGCACCGGAAGGTGTTTTTGATCCATCTGTGAACCAACAACTATCTGCTCGTAATATTTACTTCTCCCGGAGGATCCAGTCCTCTCTACTCGGGAACAGTACTTTACAAGGCAGTTCGTAGTTGAGAGTTGGAGGCATAAAGTTAGAGGTCATTTCCAGAATGATGTGACTTCCAGTGTCAACCAAAAGAGTATGTTGCACTATGAATTAAATTAATTTGTGCAATTGGCAATGTGCACAAGTCTATATGCAGTCCATCTAGCCTCTCTCTACTGAAGAATGTGGAGAGGAGGTAGATCTAGAAGGTTCTCCATGACCGCTGACGGTGTGGTACTGATGACACCACTGATGGCCAGTCAAGCCTGTTGCTGTGAGCCAAAGAGATTCGCCTGGGCCGTTTTCTGTAAAGTCTTCGGCCACCAGGCAATTGCACCATAAGTGATCATTGGTCTGACAATCATCACATAAATCCAATGGATTTGTTTGGGACCTAAACTCCTAAACCCAAAGTTTTACCACAAATCCTTCGACATGTCCATAGGGGCAGTCTGGCTTTGTGTAAAACTTTTTTCAAGTGAGCGTTCCAGGAGAGTTCCAAATGAAATGACCACACCACTGAGATTAGTTCTAAAACACCTTCAGTTCATTGACTTACCAAAAAAAAATAAAAAATAGCCAAAAAACACGTTGAATTATGGTAGTGCCCAATTAATTTCCAATATAATCAAACGGTTTTTATTTTATGTTGATCTTTTTCTTTATGGAGAAATATATTGGGTTGAGGTTGACCTTTATATCTTACTCAACTCAAAACTTGAAGAAGGGGAGGGGGGCTTTTTCACGACCCCAATAAAAAATATCTAATGATTTTTTGTAGACTTTTTTTGGACATTTTTACCTTCCGCAATCTGAAAAATAATAACATTTATGGCAAACTTTTTAATTTACCCCGACAAGTTACTGCGTAAAATCAAACTATTTTTCACAAAGAAAAATGTTCTATTTATCAGTAACTTGTCTTGTCTAACAATATTTCCTATCAAAAAAATTACTAAGAAATAATACACTACTTATCTTGACGTTTCGGAGGTCAAAATCTGCCTCCGTCTTCAGAAATGGACAAAAAAATCAAAAATATTTGCAGTTATTCCTTTGCTGATTATTTATTTCTTTGACATCTGTCGAAGTTGAAAATACCCAGGAAAGGTCGATAAAAAACTGATTTTCCTCCACAAAAAATGACTTTCATTCAATATATCTAATGATATATCTTTTTTTTAATAATAATAACGATGTATTTGCTCAAGAAACATACAATGTTTATAGCAGGGAAAAAACAATAATTCAAAAAACTAACTATAACATAACTAAGTACGAACAGAGCCCACAAAAAAAGTTAAATCAGAACTGAAACTTGAAAGAAAAAGTATGCATACAAATACACTCATATACATATATATGTACTCATCAGATAATACATCTAAAAAAACAATAATTTTTTTTTCTCACAAAATATTTATTTATTCATGTTTCCCCTCAGATATAATAGTATTGTGCCAGCGTTTTTTCCTACCCTCGAAGCAATTCTGATATGCACTTTATGGTATGTCCTTGAGCTCTCTCAGCGATTCAGTTTTGATCCACTCAATCGTCGTCCTTTCATGGGTCTTTTCGAACTTGGGAACAGGAAAACGTCGCAGGGAGCCAAATCTAGTGATACGGTGGCTGAGGCATGATTATGGTGTTGTTTTTAGCCTAAAATTTACTAACAAGCAATGACGAGTGAGCAGGAAAAAACTCCTGATGCACTACGCCACAGTAATCTAAGAAAAAAGTGAGCAAAACCTTGACATTTGATCAAACTTAGCGTGCTTTTTTTGGTCCCGGACTCTTCCATTGGGACGATTGGACTTTGGTGACGATGTCAGTAATTATTGAACGAACTTCCCTACCACACGCTTCATGCCCAAAATTTTCGAAAAAATTGCATGGCATGAACCACCCGATATACCGACGTCATCAGCAACTTCTCTGATAGTGATTCGGCAATTCGCCATAACAATGTTCTTCATTTTCTCAACATTTTCATCGGTTGTTGATGTGCTGGGGCGTCCAGGGCGAGCGTCATCATTCACACTGTCTGGAGTACAATCACCGTATGCCACTGTCAACATTTCAAGTGTTTTTGAGCAAAATTTAATGAAAATTTTTCAATTTATTTTTTCGAAAACAGAAAATCTCCGAATACGCATGTTACTTCTAACTTTTATGCCTCTCACCAATAAACTAAACATGCTCATAAGCTGAAACTGTGAACATATGTTCGAGACGAGGGTACCAATATGAAAACAATCGCTAATCGAATGTACGTAGCACGCGAAATTTGAACATTCACCTAATTTTTTTGAACAGTTCACGTATACTACAGCACAAATGAATTCCTTGAGGATGATCTTCAACCTTTTGAATATGATATAATCATATTTTTTCAATGTATGATATATATTTAATTGAATATTTCCATATTAAAATTATACTATTTTTTCCTTTTCATTGTACACTTCACAGCTCAATTTATTCCCGTCAGATATAGGTATCCTGAGTGTATTTCCACTTGCATCCCAATGAACCCAGTCTAGTTCTAGTATATGTAAACCTTCTACCGACTTATAATAACATGTCTACACACATCTCAACAATGGTGAGGTCGTAGCTGCAGTAATCTGCGATTTCTCCAAAGTTTTTGATTGTGTATATCATGAACTACTTTTGCAAAAGTTGAACTACTATGGCTTTAGAGGAGCGTGTAATGACTGGTTCAGGTCTTACTCAAGTGATAGAAAACAGTAAGATCAAACGAAAAACTATCACACACCAAGGATATCTTATGGGGCGTTCCACAAGGATCAGTACTGGGCCCGATTCTTTTCCTTATATATGTAAATGACCTTGTTACTCTCCCAATTCAAGGAATTTTTACGATCTTTGCTGATGACACCACGCTCCTTTGACATGGAAAAAATACTTCTAATTTTAGATTTATAAGTTGTGAAAAAATGGTGCGATGCAAACTACTTGTGCTTTAGTATTAAAAAGCAAACCTACTCACCTTCGGCTGTGATATTAACAATTTATACTTGAATGGACAAATTCTTGAGAATAAATTCTAATCCAAATTCCTAGGAATGTTCTTTGATAACAAATTAAAATTTTATCAACATATTTCAGCTTTGAATAAAAAATTAGCATTAGGATATTATGCACTTCGAATAGTTTCAAATGAACTGACTTCATCCACAACAAAAATGGTATATCATTCCCTGATTGAGTCCTAACTGAGATATGGTGTTGCCTTCTGGGGATTTTGCAGTCAACAACTTTTTCATTCAGTGTTTGTTTTGCAAAAGCGAGCAATTAGATTCTTATGCAAGGTGGGAGTGCGTGAGTCATGCAGACCATTATTTTTGAGAGAAAACATTCTCACTGTTATTTGTATTTCCATAGTGGAACCTGTTTGCCTGATTTCAAAAAACATAATATGGTTGGAACTCCGGCACATATAAATTACATAAACCAGCACGTAACAGAAAATAAAATACATCTTTCTATTCCAAGAACAAGTCAAAGTATTCTTCAACTTATGAGAGTGAAAAGCTGTAAAATCACATACCTTACGAAATTAGGGACGAAAAAAGCTATAAAAAGTCTAGAAATCTTGTTAAAGATGCCCTTGCAACAAAAGCGTACTATAATCTTGATGAATATTACAATGGAACTTTGCTGTGATTTAATATATGACTTTTTTGTGTTGTTTATATTGACACGTATACTTTAAATTATATTTTATACTGGGATATATCTTATTTTATTGCCATGACATTTGAACTTATGTTCAAATTGTGTATATTTGTTTTTTATATTTTTTTAAAGGGACAAGACAAACTATTTTGTCAACAAACTTTATTAAATTTGTGAACTTATTTTTGCTCAAATTGTGTTTCTGGGTATTTGTATTTTTGAATTGTTTCTTTTCTTTTATCCTTTGAAGTGCCATACGTACCAGATTTTTTAACAAGCATATAGATTAAAATACGTGAGACCATACCTACAAACAGCCCAGATGCGAATGCTATACTATGCATTGTTCGAAACCCACCTTACATACGGAATAATTGCTTGGGGAGCAGCAAACACAACTTTTCTGAAACACCTAGAACAGACACAAAAATCAGTATTGAAAATTATCCACCTCAAAAAAAGAACCTACCCGACCGACTCATTATATAAAGAAACATCAATTCTAGACATAAGACAACTCTACTTTCTCTAAACTATAATAAGACAACATAATAATAGACATGAATTAAGGATAATAGAACACCAATATGAAACTCGACAAAAAAATAATGCATATGTCCCGAATTCAAGGAAAAACATCCTTCAAAGGTCTTACTCATACCTAGCTCCTCGGTTATATAATCTCGTCCCACATCATATAAAAAATATCAGGAGTGATAATTCATTTAAGAATAAACTCAAAACCTGGGTCTTAGGCTTGCCAAGGCTTCAGATACACCAACACGTTGATATGAAAAATGTTTACTATCATAGTGACATGCATAGAAACTGATTCACATATTCATACAAGAAGATTGATGATATAATTAAAATAATATGTCTGATAATTTTAAAACGTCTTACCTTTTATTTATTTACTCATACCACTTTATATTTCAAATTTTAAATTGTATTCATTAGTATTCAAATTTTAAATTGTATTCATTAGTATTCAAATTTCTGCAGACCCCACGCACAGGTATATCCTTCTGTGGGAATTCTATATTTATTTGGAAATTGACTCGTACAATTTGTATCATTGGACAATGTATCCTTGCCAATAAATATTATTATTATTATTATTTGTCAATAAGATTGTATTTTCTTGGACAATAAAGTATATGTCTATCTATCTATATCATTTTGCAATCCTAGTTTTTGGTCAACTTTTTCAACAGAGTTTTGTATTCTTCTACAATAAAGCATTTTTTGATTGATTGACAATTCAACCACTATCTCGTATAATATTTGTTTCCTCATTCGAATCTAAATTGGATAGAGATTGGAAAAAGAGAACTCAAAAGATCCCTGAGTAACATCACAAATGACTCTCTCATATGAATATTATCCATAATACTGACAATTTGTTCTCCGCCCGAAAAAACATTTTGGAACTAGGTATGGACAATTTTTATTTATGAGTTATATGAGAGGTCAACTTGAATTAAAAAAAAACTGGTCAAAAATAATCTTTATTGGACATATTATCCCATGAACCATATTATAAATAAATATACAAGTTTATCACAAAAGATTTCAGTACAATAATTAAAAACACTGCAAAAATTCATTAGCGAGCATTAATTTTTGTACTTACTCAAGATTTCAGGAATTTTAAACAAATATCCTTGAATAAATTGAAACTTTATTGAAGGAAATTATGTATGTAAGATATATTATCATAAAAAAGGTGTTATTGTGTATTTTCAGTCTGCATTCATGTGTCAAGTGAAACAGCGATGATGATTAGTTTCGACCTTAGAGGTATAGAGCATCTTCAGTACTCATGCAAAATTTGCAAATCTGAAACAGACCTGAAAATATATGTTATCCAAGAAATGAAAAGTTTGTAATATGTATATTGAAATAAATGTTATTCATTGTATAAATAATACTGAAAACTAAAATGTATTCATTTTTTGCAAAATAAAGGGGATGTAAAAACAAATTTCTTAAAGACTCAAAAAATGCTCTACACATAAGGTTTTAGTAGATCCAAAATATTAAATAAAACAACTGCATTTGACAAGCACAATATATGATAGATATAAAATTAAATATATAGTTGTAGTCAGTCTCGGTAACTTTATCCATCTCTTCAGGAACCAAAAAACAAAACTGAAATGATAGACAGATTTTACATTTGATATCAATTCATATGGTGTAGAAAAATTAACAACTTCTGTAATGGAAAAAGTTATCAGTGTGATAGCAAACAAGACACACTTTGATTCACAAGTACCAAAAGTAAATAAAATGACTAATATTTAGTAACACATGATACTTCAATTTTTTTTTGTTGAAAAAATAGCAATCATTCTCAGAGACAAAACAGTTTTTTCAAGATATTTCAACCTTCAGAATAATTTGAAGCATAAAAATCAAACGCAGTTACTGCCAGCTTAGACAAAGGAAATTCCATATGTAGTTAGTGAAGACAACATAATTTTGAGAAAATAAATATTTCCTGACAGGAAGAATTGGAACTTCTGGCGTAAAATTAATCTACTCAAAGCATTTTCTCCAGATCAAAACAAAAATAATGTTTCTCAATGAGCATTTTGCTAACCAAGTTACCATTAGTTGTAGTCATTTCCTGATGATGCTAAATTAGTTGGGTTCGGTCACTAACTTAGAGAAACATGGATCAAGAGACAGACTTTTTTTCGGTGTGGAAACAGTGTTTTCAATAGGTAAATATTTCCTATTTATTATATATTAGATAGAAAAGTGGCATATTAAAATTTATATTTGAAAGAGTAATCCCGGAATAATCAAATTGGGGTTTCCTGATCGAAATATGAAAAAATATGTGATTTCGCCAACAGTCCTAACTCTGTCTAGTTCATCATCAGGATTCAACAGAAATAATTGTTTCAGTTTCAACTTGCATATTCATACTTGTAAATACATATGTAGATATATGTTACTCTGTTTGAGACGAAAGTATCTCAAACTGTATTTCAACATTAAAATAATACAGAGATTAACCTTCGTCTCAAATCTGCATATGTATTGGCAAATATGATCTATTAGAATATACGAACATATTTTTGTAGATCCCTATGGAGGAACTTGATGAAATTCAAAACCATTCTGATATCTAAAGTATTTTATGAGTTGGTACAAGAGAAGTTGTTAGATCCAATTTCACAATTTTGAAACCAGGAATTGTTTGCTAAACCTCACTTGAAGAAAGATCAGATTACTCCTTTGTACATATTTCTATTATCAAAATTTCAAAATAATTATTGTTAGCTCACCAGAATTTCATAAGGTTTGAGATTTTGCCGAAGAATTTTCCAAGTGATAGTGTTTTTTCTTGGATCTTTCGTTGTAAAAAATATTATAGAAGAACCCTTTTGTCAGTTATTTGAGACTAAGCAGGTTCCAAGTTACCGTAAAAAAACAAGTTGGATTGTTTCAATTCATTTCCAAAAATAAATGTATATATACATCAAAATCGGGAAGGTAAATAAAAAAAACATGAAGGTCACTTATTAAAAAAACTTCCAATAAAGTAATCCCCGGAAGGTTTCTAATAGTCATTTTTTGCATATCACTCATTCACAACCTAATCAATCTCTTAATATACAAAATTATGCAATGAAAAAAGTATCAAGTGATAAATTCGATTATTGGATAAATGTCATAATGAGAGAGAAATATTGCAAGTCTTCATGGAAACGCACACCAAGCAAAATTGCGAAAAACATTTGGTATTTTTCGAACAATATTTATGTCTTAAAGTTAAGTACATTATTGAACAACCTTAACCCTTACATCGTGAAAGGGGTTAAGTTGTATATGAAACATTTATTACACACTCTAACAGGCTTTATGTGACCAAACTTAGGGAGCGGAACACTATTGGACGAACATCTGGCACAAAATACCTTTCCGCAATTTCTGCAATGGTGCCGACGTTTCACAACAGTGAAGTTGGCTCCACAACTCATACATTTAGGGGCTTCAACGTCGGGGATCCAGACGGGAGGTCGCGAGAAGTCATGTTCCTCGTACTGTTCCCTACTGCCATTGGTTTCGTTAGCTTGAGAAATGATGCTGGTTGCCAAGTTAGCAATATCCTCTCGTAAGGATGCATACCTATTCAGGTCTGAAGATAAAGAACTTAAACTGCGCTCATCACTTTGAAGTTGCCTGGGGTGGTTGGAATATTCTGAAGGACACTCTTCTGAATCCAGATGAAAGAAAACATTAGTGTCGAATAAAGCTTCTTGGGCCAGAATATTGGGGTCAACAGAAAATTCATGATTTTCAATAACATCTCCTTCAGGTGGGTGATATTCAATAGAGACGTCTAAACTGGGAGATTCGAGAGTTTTTGCTGACTCAGGACTAGATGTGTTGATCAAAAAAACTGATTTCAAAATATTTCTCAGGTCACAAGCAAAATTTGTTTGAAGCTGATCTGCCACACCAGCAATACAGACAAATAACCGATGAAGTAGATCTTCACTCGACCTGTAACCAATAATTTATTAATTTATAAGTCCTCAAGACTAATTTCTGAAAATAATATATTATAAGAATGATGTACATATGTGAACAGACTCATGAAAATTAGTATGGTGGATATTTTCTTGAAAAATAGTTTTATTATCCATGTTTCTTTATGTTTGATGCTCAAGGTGAATAGGAGCTGTGGACAACAAACTTAACAGAATATCTGAATACAGGAAGATCGCAGGGCCACAAAACCTATTTATTTTCGGAGAAACAAAAATTATGGAATAGAGAAGTATCAGTATGTAATATGAAAATATGCATATCTGCTAGCTTGAGCCAACAACCGATTTATAGATACCAGGTAAAAACGTTATGTAAAAATATTGCACACTTTTCTTTAAGTTCGAGTGTCGATTTTTGTATACATTTCATAGAATGTTGTTTAAAATTTAAAGTTAACGCTGCTAAATGACTATACAAGAATAACTTGATACTCAAGAACCAAAATTGATAATGTTTTTACAAATGTACAGGTGATCTCTTCAGTAGTAGACACACCTATTTCTGATCACAGACTTATTATTAATTCCGTTAATAAATCACTGTTGAACCTCACTCCGACAGAAAAATCTTTTAGGTACAAAAAAATATTTTCCAAAAACAATAAGCAGCACATGGCAGAATTACTTGATTCTGAAAAGTGGGTCTCTGTTTATGATGCAAAATCCTGCAATGACAAATATAAAAACTTTCATCAATATTCTGGCATCTCACTTCAATGTAGCATTTCCCTTGAAACACTTCCAAAACAAAAGTAAAGCTAGCAGCACCTGGGTCTCGGAGGAAATAAAAGCCTCTAGTTCATTATTAAAGGATCTATATATTCTTCAAAAATACCACCCTGATTTAAAACCTATATACAAGCAAAGGCTTGCTGAATATAAACAACTTATTGAGAACGTTAAAGAGTTACACTTCAGTGATGTAATACAACATTCAGAAAACAAAAAAAAGGCCTCCTGGTCAATCATCAATAAACTTAAAAATTCAATGCGACCTAATATACAAATTCTGCAGGGGAATTAATAAATTACAGACCCTGGTAAAGTTGCAAATATATTCAACAACTTCTTTATATCAGCCCCCAAAAAAATCAATAATGACATTCCAAAAATCCCCCTTGAAGATTCTGCAGATATGCCCAATAGAACCTTACAATCCATGGTGCAACTGCCATTCACAGAAAATGTTATGATCCACATCTTTGCGAAACTCAAAAACAAACACTCTGCGGGACCTGACGACCTCCCTTGCAATGTTATCAAAGAATTCAGCTCATTTCTATTATCACCGGTCACCTATATTGTGAACTTTTCTTTCGAGACAGGCACAGTCAGTCCCTACTCAACTCAAAACTTCAAAAGTTACACCTGTGCACAAAAAAACTGTAGAAAAAAATTGGATAATTATAGGGTAGTCTCTTTAACACCATCATTTTCCGAAGTGTTTGAATATTGCATGCTAGAAAGACTCAATCCTTTCATAGAGAAATTATATCTAATACCAACCGAACAGCATGGATTCAGAAAAGCACGGTCAACTACTACAGCTACAACTGAGTCTATAAACAATATTCTGGAAGAGTTCGACAAAAGAAAATGTCCAATTGGAGTATTCTGTGACTTGAGCAAAGCCTTTGATTGTTTACCACACAATCGGCTACTAGACAAACTCTGGGCACTCGGCATTAGAGGAAGAGCACATGATTGGTTCAGCTCGTTTCTTGCAAATAGAAATCAATATATATCATTATCTCATAACAAGAAAGGTCTTATCACTACACACTACTCCAGTACACTACCTGTGAAAGTAGGTGTTCCTCAAGGAAGTGTAGTAGCTCCAATTCTGTTCTCCCTATATCTGGTAGACATCGTGAATTATCTATCAGAATTCAAAGTTATCTTGTATGCTGATGATCTACCAATCTTGGTATCTAAAGAATCTTATGATTCAAATGAACAAGCTGGTGCATAAAATTGCAAAATGGTTTTCAAAAAATAAGCTGTATATGAACCCAGCAAAAACTGAATTTCTTATCTTCCATACAAGACAAAAACAAATTGAAAATATCAACCTGACCTTAAACAACACTAACGTGAACCGTAATATCTATGTTAAGTTCTTAGGTCTGAATATAGATGATACATTAAATTGGGAAACCCACGTATCTACTCTAATAAAAAATATTAACACCAAAATATTTCAAATATGCTGTATGCATAAGGTCCTGACAACTCCAGTAATGAAACATTTCTAATTTGCAGAAATTCAGTCGAGACTGGCATACGGAATCATAGTATGGGGACAATCACCTGCTGCCAAACGTCTCTTCATTAGATAGAAAAATGGCATTCGTGCTATGTTTTACAAACCCCAAACAGAATCTAGTAGACCTCTCTTTAGAAAGTTACAAGTATTACCTCTTATTTCTCTTTACATATTGGAAACTGCTTGTTACATTTACAAACATAGAAATACTTTGCTCTGTCACAATGACATTCACGGTAGTTCCACCAGGAATCGGCATTTGCTGAATACTCCTCTAAACAGATTAAACCTATCACAAAACGGTCCTCTAAGCATCGGAATTTGAATTTTTAATAAAATTACTCAAAACATTAAAGATGAACCTACCTATTTCAGATTCAAGAAGTCACTGAAAAAAGTACTAATTGAGGGTGCATTCTATACTTTGGAACAATTTTTTAGTATATAAATCACTGATAGTATATTCTGTCATACTCTGTGTGTAATTGCATATTTTACCTTGATATTTAAATTGTAGTGTACCTACTCTGTCTGTACTTGTATTTTAACTTTTTACTCTGTAATTTTGCTTTTTGTCTCTATAATCCAAATTTTTGACATGTCTTATACCACTTGTGGTCTTCAGATTAATAATAAATTTGATTTGATTTGATTGAAATACTTCCTGTTAGCAATAATGTCTGCCAGATGCTTTGAAGCTACGAAAAATTGAACTTACTAATAGTCTGAGTACAGATTTTCATTAATGATATGTAATCATTTCAATTTCATCATCATTGTTTGTTTTTTCTCATTTTAGTTCAATTTCTTTATTTCAATACCCATCCCAAAATTTAGTCCCTATATTTTTAGTATTTGAATAATTCTAATCTTCCATTAATTTTTATTTTATTTTTTCTTGCCAAAGATTCAATCTGTTAACAATAAGACAATGGAATTCGGAACCTCTAACATTCATCAAGAATCATTATCCATTATTGGACAGATTATCAAGTTAAATATACATTAATGAGTATGTAACTAATAGTATAGGGAATTGTGAATCATAAATATTTTTTTACCTTATTGCATGCAAAATTGATTTTCTGTATTTTGTTAAGTAAATAATACTTGTCACCTGAATTTTGCTCTAACTTCATTCCTACTAGCCAACTCAGCAGCTTGCATGGCGAGCGCTATTTCTTCATCATCAGCACAAATGCTGTGGAAAGAGGAAGTTTCAGAGCTTTCTGAGCTTGGAGAATCTTCATCGGTTATTCCACTTGCAGCCCTATCATTCATTTTCTTCTTATTCATAGAAAACGATGATGAATTGCTTGTTCCCGGTGAGTGGCAAGATTTTGCTCGTAGTGAATTCTTGACAACTATGACGGGCCGCTGAGGTGCAGATTTTTTACAAGGACAAGTTGCCGAAGCAAAGTTACTAGAACAATTGCACTTTTTAGACTCGTTCAGCTCCAAGCTAGGAGATCTGTCCAAACTGGTAGTTTCAGTACAAATACCGGAGTCATTGGGAGATTCTAGGTCTTCGAGTTGTGTCGTGGGTTTTGATTCCTTCTGATTGGACAGCACATCAGTAGTAGTAAGAATGGAAGAAAGTGTGGCAGCCGCTACCGAAATCACTTCCAATGAGTCATGATCAGGAGGTGATTCATGTCGGATTCTGTGAGAAGGAGACACTGATGATGCTGCAATGATGGTGTGATGGAACACAGTTTTAGGTATCAAATGTCCAGAAGTTGAGGGTATATCTATGATGTTGGCATAATTTCGTTGAGGAGACTTTTGAACACTTTCTTGTTTACTAGCACTTCCAACATTATTGGCACTTGTCGAAACAGAATTTAAAAAAGAGTCTTCACAAAGATGGTAATCAGTATAAAATTGGTTGATAAAATCATCCAAATTGCTATCAACACCTACATTACTAACCGATTTTAAGTCACTAATCTGTTCGTTATCACATAATAATTTTTCCAACATATACAATTCTCTTTTGTTCAAAATCCACAGCAATTCCCGAATTTTATGCAAAAGAGTTCGGAAAGGTCGGAACATTTCACTCATTTCTTCGACAGGTTTGTCAATGAATAAAGGTCCATTTGGAAAAATTAGAAGGCCACTGACAATAGCTAGACGAGGAATGGTGAACATTAAAGCAGGATCACAGTCGTCCACCATTTCTTGGGTCAAAAGTTTCATTTTCAGAGCTCTCTGCAAGGTTTCTGAAAACAGAACCCCTATGAGCTCTTGCAACTCATACTCCAGAGTTGATTTTACAGGCACCATGGCACTCACATATGCTAATTCGAATTCAGCAAAGAGTCTGTCGAATATTTTGAGGCTCTCTAGTAGCATTTCAGTAACAAGCTCATTGGAATCGAGCTTTATTGGACCGTTCGGAGTGTTGTTTCGAAGACACGCATCTCTAAGAAGGTTTCTCACGTTTTCTAGACTTTTTGTCACTGCTTTCGCCAATGGTCGCATCACAGTACTTTCTGATTCCCTATTCATAATCGATGAACCAGCGGCCAGGCACTGAAATTAATTCATACGATTTCTTTAATTGTATTAGCTGAGTAAGTAAATTATTGTTTAAGTTCGGACTTTCATTGTCTAAAATGGCGTTAACTGATGTGACATCTATGGAAAAGCAAATAAAATGAAAATGAAATGAATGAAAAATTATTGAAAATACTGAAAATAATAATCTGTCTGAAATATTTGGTTGCGTTAGTTAAAAAAGCAAAGTTAAATAGCAACAGTTGTAAGAATGCTAAATAAAACAAAATATTTTGACCTGAAATGGAAATCAATTAATAATGGGTTACACAATAAGTTAAACGTCAATTATATACAAAAAATAAAAAAGTTAAATAAAAATGCAGTAAAATAAAATAACCAATATAAATGGTGAAAATATACCAAAAAAACTTTAAAATTAGAAAAGGGTTTGAAACCAAGTTACTTCAAGATTTTTTTGATTGCTAGTATCCACAATCGTCTTTGGGTTACAACTGGACTGTTCTTCTCCCCACTTTCTCTATAGACTGTTTTCTAGCTTGATTAGTTGTTTTTATATGTTGCGTATCTCCACATCGCAGTCCACATTTGGTGGTTGATTTTTATGAGCCTGTATAGATTACAAATTAGCCTTCTTAAAAGTTTTGCTATTCAACTTTGCTGTTCTTTTGACATATTTTGGTCTAATTATTTGTATTTTTGGTATTTTCAAATAATATTCGAGTAACAATGAAAAGAGATATGAAAATTTGTGTTTTTTACCACTTTCATTTGTAACTAACGTTACTGCAGTTTCGTCCTATAAGGACATTTTCAAACATATACAATAAACTAACAATGATTCATTACATTCGCCATTATATACATTACATATAATGGCGAATGTAATGAATCATCTACACCAACACTTTCATGTGGGTTTTTAAACGGTCAAAGTGGAGTTTTTAAGTGGTAACAAGTTAAAATTATTATATGGAAGTGGTATCGGACTATTGGTGGAAATATGAGCCTTCTAATGATCGCATTGTCTGAACAAATGAAATCATAAATCAGGTGAAAATCATTTGAAAAACCTCGTTAGTCCTTAGCACGCACAAGTTTCAACTTTTGAGAGTTGTTACTGCAGTTTCGTCCTATAAGGACATTTTCAAACTAACATAATAAACAGATTGGTTTATAGTATTAGTTTGAAAATGTCCTTTTAGGACGAAATTGCAGTAACTTTATTTACAAATAAAAGTTGTAAAAAATCATGAAGTTTCATTTCTCATTTTTCATTAAAAAAACGATACTGATAACTATTAAAATAATAATAACTACAACAAAACACAAAATTAACAGCAGGATATTTTGTGGAATTGTAAATACACTCAGAAAATGAAAATAGAAGGAGCGTTTCATTGGTTTCGTATGGAAAGGTACCGAATGAAAACATTTTTGAAAGATACTTAGATGGTTCCATGTGTTTCATTACAGTGTTATAAATTCATTGAAGTGGAATACTTTGTTGCATAAAAAAGAAAAATTAAAAACATGTCAAATGTGTATTAAACAATGTATCTAATGGCTCTGCACGTGTACCAATGAGTGACTTAATTTATTTTAGTTCTGGATTGGTATTTCATTTTCAATTTTAATTTTCTTTAGTTTTCACTTTGTCTAAAAATATCTTACATATTGTCGTCATTAATACCGACGTCGTCTACCATCAACACATTCACTTTCATCAGTCACGGAGACTACCATGCTTTTTTACATAGATACCATTTGTGAAATAATATGGCGACCTCCATGACAGATTTTCTACTAACGTAACCCCTTAGTAAAATGAAACTATTATTAACGAACGAAAACGGAAACGTTAAAGCTGGTATAAAAATCCACTGGATTGGGATTTGAAGGGGAAGGACTTTGAACACGATTGATTAAAATTTTCGTACAGTTGATATTAAGTAAAAATCAATACAAAAGAATTAATTTTAAAATGTATTTATTATTTTTATACAATTTTGTAATAAATGAAAATATTACAAAGTTATTAGTAAATAACATGTGACACTTAAACTTATGCATGAGGTAGGTAGGGCAGAGAGTCTTAAATATTTCACAATGATATTTATTATTTTGAATTATAAATACTTTCAATTTAAATTAGCACTAATCGGTGGACAATATTTTTGGTTAACCTGTCTTTAGTTAACACAAATATATTCGACGGTTTCCCTACACGTGAACATGCAACATATAGTTGCCCATGAGAAAAACATGGATTTTCCAAATCTAAACCACAAATGGACATTGTTTGGCCTTGAGACTTATTTATAGACATGGCAAAAGCTAAACGAATAGGAAACTGTAGCCTTCTGAAGGGTATGGTAGAATCTGACGGTATCATTGGAATACGTGGCAACAGAACCACTTCTCCTTTAAACTTCCCAGTTAAAATGGTTGCTTCAAGAATATATCCAGTGATTTTTTGATGACCAAAAGCGTACCGTTGCATAATTGAGGTGCATTCAAATTACATAGGAGAATAATGTGGGGAACTAATCTTTAATCGAAGATTATGTGATGGCATTCCAGGTATATCTAGTGAATTTAAAAATTCAATTGGATAATTTACACTTGTATGTTTAACATAGCAGCGTCATCTATTGATTACTTACTCAATCTAGTCAACAGCTATCGCATCTGTTTTAAAATCATTTGGAGTTAACAGATAATTGTGAATGTCAAATAGACAAATACTTTGCAATTAAATAATATTGCGACTATAAATTAAGATGTAAGCTATCCTATCTTTCAAGTTGGATCAAATTGCGAACAGTGTGAAAATTTGATTGAAATCGGTTAAGTAGTTCAGGAGTCCATCGCGGATAAACAACGTGACACGTAATTTATATATGTTAGATATTACTACCATATTATGAGTTTCAATGACAATTTAAAACAGAATAATAAACTGAGAATGAAGGGACTGTTCGAGAAGAGAAGTGAGGAACTGCTTCAACAAAGCAGACTACATAGTTTCCTGGAAACTTGGGAGAAATGGACAATTCAGACACCTCCAAAGTAGTAGAGAAAAATAACCTTCCAATTTAAATTACCAAAATTATCCTCATGATATCCTAAACCAAATATCATAAGCATCCAATAATGAGAATCAGTGTAATCTTAATTTGTATTGTATGAAGAATTCTCAATTTATTTTTCTGAGATTAATACTTTTTGTTTAGATAAATATTTTGAGGATGGATAAGCATTGTCCTAATATCTGAAGATAAAAAAATATCAATAAACAATCAAAAGTACATTAGGCAATGTTGTATGGAAATCTATTTTAGAAAATATCAATAAAGAATTTTGTGTAGGAACAATAAAATGTTTAGTTATGGAAGGAAGATATGTGCAAATTTAAGCATTTAGTGATTGATTATTCAGGTTTCTGAAAGTTTTTGTAATTAGGTTTTCGTTTAGGACTACCCTATGAGGTAACACTACGATTAAAGGGATTGTAAACTTACAGATCTGTATTACTTAATTGTTTAGCATTAATTAATTTAGTCAATTATTTCTTATCATTAAATCATACTCATAGTTATTATGGACATACATAGAGAGTTAAATATCACTTTTGCACCAAAAATTTAAACCATTTTCAACAAAATTCTATATACTAGTTCGAATAATAAACTGGACTGAATTTCGCATTGAAATGTTATTATAGTAATATGGGGGAGGCGCCTAAGGTGTATATGAGATACTAGCACTCTATGAGGCTAGAGCCATAAAAAAATGGATTTATTTGTTTCGTTACGTAGGTGGGTGTGATTTGAAATCTGAGTATTGTTTTCAAATTTAAACAACTTTTCTAAATAAACTTTTTATTATGTTGAAAATAAGAGTAGTTTACTCTTAATCAAAATTTCTATTTTTTTGTTCTCCCTTCAAATCCAAGTTTCCCGCACTGCACCAATTTTTATCAAGAATAAAATTTTTTGACAAATGGATAATAAAAAAATTTCCCATATGGTGCAAACTTTTTGAAACTCACTGTTTTTGTCACTGCAATAACATAGAATATTCCTAATAAAATAAACTTATTCATTAGTTTCAAAAATTACTAGCTTAGGAAGATTCAGACTTTAAGTATTTTACATTGCAATTTCAGAATTATGGGATCTAGTAAGTGATCCTTGGTCAACTTTTACTATAACATTAAATGTCATAATAATATGGTCAAGGTAAAGTATGTATTAGATGTCAATATTGTGATACAAGGAGTCCATCCATCACCATCCACTCTTCGACACAGAGATAACACTTCCTTTCAACAAAAAAACTATTTTCCAGACAATCATACTCATATGTTTAAAAAAAATATGTTTTCCGTTAACCAGCTGTCGCATCCCTACGAACGACAAACCTCAGAAATCGAAACTTGTGCGAGCTAAGGACTAAGGAGGTCTTACCTTTTAACGTGTGATTCCTAACACAAGTCAAAATTGATCACTCAGCTTGCGGCTTGAACCACTGACCAACACGGCGGTAGGTAAGAGTGAGTGAACAAAGCGCCTACCGGCTACCAACTTGTTATTTTGTAAATGTTCAAACCAACAGGTTAGTTGAAAATATAATTTAAGAAAAAACAAAAAAATCTCTGTTAGTAATTACCTCTGCCCCAAACCACAATTGGCCAGCAAGATTGTCCTGGAGCACATCTTCAGGAAATTTGACCCTAAAATCTCTGTCGGCCCTTTCGTCTCCAATCAAAACGTCCATGATGGAATTGGTAATTGTTAATACTTTGTCTTGTGCCTGCCGCAATTGATTGACTAAGGTGGTGCATCTTTCCGGGTCCTTTCTACCGTCAAAACTATCTAACTCATTGGCGACAATGTTGAGATCTTCATCAGCATAAAAAAATTGTGCCAATAGTGACTTGTCATCTTTCTGCAAGATTATAAATACCAATATCATACAAAAATAACAAAAGTCAAATTTTGCAGTCTAATGACACGAAAGCAGATTTGAAAAATATCGTAAAAATGTATATTTTTTTTAGAAATAAAAACACATGAAACTAAACGAGTCTCCAATAGTATTTTTTATAGTGATTCAAGAAAACATCAATCAAAAACCCTGCTATTAGCTCCCAATTATAGAAAACTTTCCGAAATATGATCCATTCTTAGGTTTGAACTGCAATATATAATTGAATTTTATCAGTTTCTTATCAAACACCCAAAGAATACATACGTTGAACCAAACAAATTTCCAAAAAATGTAATAATGGATCTTTCTGCGAATAAGGGATAATTTCTAGATAATCTACTGAAACGATCGAAGTAAGGCTGATTGTTTCATTATTGGCTTTGATAGCAGAGCTTCTGAATGGTTGAAATGATACCTAGAAAATCGAAAACAGTTCGTAAAAATGATAACATCCTCCAAATTGAATAACATAAAGTCAGGTGTTCCTCAAAGGTCAGTTTCCAGTCCCATATAAATGACATCACCCAGCCAGATACCTCTGGAAATCTCTCTTTGCAGACGACACAACTATTTTTTGGCATGGTAAAGATCTTGAAAGACTGAGATTGGAAATTAACACTGATCTAATGAAAGTCAAGAACTGGTGTGATGCAAATCTCTCAACCCAAAATATTACTCAGGGAAGATCTTGTGAAAAATAAAACAACTACATTCTTAGAGGTTGACATTGATGATACTTTAAAATTATTTGATCACATTATTATGTATAGTAAAATAATAATAATAATAATGATTGGTTATAGGCCCATTACGATGATTTGCCTACCGATGACAACCCTGACAACAGACGCATGAGCTGAGAGATAGTCTTATGCATGCTCTATGACAAGAATACATGCTCTGTGGTGTGAAACACATCCGGAGCTTGCCGCCATTTCCGCCCATAACCTATATAGCTCCTTCCCAGCCTGCTAACGAAGTGGAAGTAACAATTCTACCACCCATTGACACGGCTGGAGAGGAGACTCGCATCATATCATCAATGGAGATAATTAGGCACCTGAAGCCACAAGAACTGACATGTTTGGATGCAGAGGTTCATAGTGTTCTAAGAGAAGAGGCTGACATCTGGCAAATTAACACCGCCGTGCCCAATCGCTTTCCGAATCCGAAGGACGAAATTCCGGTCTTGCGGTTTGGAAGATTGAACGACGGGTACATTTGATGAAGGCTAAGATCACGTTGGCGAGACAACAAGCGTCTCGTATCCAATGTGTGACGGATTACAAGGCGGCCAACAGGTCTTTCACGCCCGCAGTACGTCAAATAGCCGCCGAACTACGACGTATTCATAACACTTTGAGTTGAAGCGTGCTGCTGACCACCAAACAGCACTGCCTTGATAGGATATAAATGCTAGTGGCTACTAAGAAGTCACTAGTGAGGCGAACGAGAAGTATCGGGGAAAATCTCAAATTCCAACAGAAACTTTCTCGCTTATTTCAAGAGCCTCTGTGTGTTATAGACAATCCGCCGACCGCTGATCAGGTAGAACTCTTCTAGAAGGACATCTATGAACACCACTCAACTCAGACACTAAAGTCCTAGCGCAGTTCAAAGCTTTCAGCAGGGAGCTTCGACAGCCTGAGCTCAATGAACTGCACAACCCGAAAACCCAAGATGATATTCGAAGAGCCCTCGTAGATTCCAAGAACTTTGCTGCTCCAGGCCCCTTGGTTTGGTGGAAAAAAACATCAAGCAACCACCGCCACCTGGCCAAAGTTTTCAACTCATGGCTGGACGGATAACAGCTGTTCTGAATTGGTTTGTCGAGAGGCATCTCCAAAAGCAGAGATTTGTTGATTCCTAAAAATTACAGACCGATAACATGCTCAAATTCGTATTGTGAGTTATTTACGAGCACGAATACTCTCCGCAGTTGACCAAGTATTCGAACGAATATATGAGAAAACCGGGTCGAAGAGAGAAGCCACTAGATGTAAAGGGAACCCGCTTATCGATAGATATATAACCCAGGAGTCGATTCAGTATAAGCATAACCTCTCTATGGCTCAGATCAATTACCGCAAGGAATTTGATACAACATTGCATGAGTTCATCTTGCATTTGCTCAGATGCTTTGCGGTACCCGACTAAATAGTGAGATGACTTGAACAAATAGGGTGGGTCACTTTAAGAAAGGGTGTATTTCAGGGCGATTCTCTCAGTCCGCATCTCTAATGCATCTCACTATTGCAATTATCCTTTGCGCTCAGAAATATTCAAGGGTACAACTGGTGGCACCTCTGGAAACGGGAGGCACAAGGTCCCCCATTTGTGATATATAGATGATCTCAAGCATTATGCCTCTGGAGAAAAGGATCTCCATCAGTCCTTGAGGTTGGTGGAACAGTACAGGCATGCTATAGGTATGAAATTCAGTATAGACAAGTTCGTTCCAAAATTACTGAATTTTCACAAAAAAAAACCGTCGCACGAGCAACTCTCAGAAATTGTAGAATGATGTCAACGGTGACCCAGATTTACTTAAAAGGGTCATAACTGATGACGAATCATTGGTATATGGTTATGACATAGAAAACAAAGTCCAATCGTCCCAATGGAAGAGCTCAGGAGAGCCAAGACCAAAAAAATCACGTCAAGTTCGATCAAATGTCAAGGTTTTGCTCAACGTTTTCTCTAATTACCATGGCTTAGTGCATCAGGAGTTCTGGTAATTTTATAAGCTAATAAAATATTTTGAATTTACTGACAATGATGTTCCTAATCAAAGGTAGTACTAAACAGTATATAAAATCAGAGATTCGACTATCAAAATTTTCTGTGAAATGTAAATTCGAAGCAAAAAATTATCGTTATCCAAAATTTATGAAAACCAATATCATCATTTGATCACCAGACATAATGTATAAATAATAACATGTATGCATTTGGCAACAGGGTAGACTAATCATTTTGATTATGTATATGCATAAACAAAAGTCTAAAGTATTCTAATATGAATGGATACGTTCACAAGAAATAAGCATTCAATTTATGTGATGTGATCATTGGGTAGAACAAAATTTTCTTAAATAAAACTATGTGGAGAGCAAAATTTGAAAGACATTTTTCATGTGACTACATTTGTAGTACATGTATGTGTGTGTTAAAATAGATGCATTTATTTTTATTTTTTTACAAACAAATGTGTAAACAACATTCAATGTTTTGTTTTTCATTCAATGTGTTCGCATATATTTTTATGTACCTACTGATTCAAATAAAATGGAAGTAATGACCTTGTAATGCCTTCCTATGACATTAATTTAAGGTGATCATTATTTTTTCTTGATAGCTTGGATCTCCTTCAGAAGTGGATTGAAACTATTTCTATTAGATAATCTAGATTTTCAATCGAGTTTTTGAGAGAATCAAAGCTGTCGATATGAATGTAATCAAAGTGATTTGAGAATTCAAAGAACTCAAATACTAAAAATTAATGAAATAATTGCATCAATTTTGAAATTCCCTATCAGTATAATCTTGAAGTGTTAACATACTTACGTAAATATCTTAATATTATTCAAATGAAATGAATTCGATTTTTTTTATAATTCTTGTTTCTTACTTATATATCAAAAATTACTTTGATGCTAGTGAAACCAGCATCATGGGTGACTTCATCGATTGTTTTAGTCATAAATGAATTTAACAAGGGCTTCGTTCACTTTCAAATATTCTAGTAATTATTTATATGAAGTTTAAAAAATATATGAACGTAGAAGGAATGAGGGTTTCAGTCACACACAAACAAATTATTACAATTGGAAGCCAACAATAGAACTGAATAAGTTATCAGGAAAAAATATAATAATTTCACTCAATGGCAAAGCAGTGGCTAGGCTTTTGTAAAACAAGTTTTCACATATATTAATTCAAGTACTAACCTTAGGTTTATACAACCACTTTCGAATGGATTCCATCATACCACATTACTTCACAATAGGATTATCACAAACATAACTTTTCCATATTGTTCAAATAGAATTTATAAAATTGTTTTTGATTCATAAACTGGAGCACGTGAAAGTTCCATGGTGACATCTTTAAAAAATTATTACCAGTTTCTTATTGAATTCAGTAAATTCCGGTGACTGAATTAATAATGTTTATGAAGAATGTTTGCTTTTGTTGTAGAATAACTTATAGATAATCTAATAAAAGAAAGTTTGACTTAACAAATCATGTTCTGAAAAGTGACAAGTAACTTGACAATCTGAATAGTTATCTTCTTCTTTTATTTGTTCATTTAGAAAATGCTGATTTAACTGAAGTCTGAGTGACTGAAATCGGCTGCAGTGACAAAATCTGGGTCACACAGAAGTTTTTATTCTCTAAGAAGTTATTGGGTACGAAGTAATTCAAGTATGAATTCCGTTAAAAAAGAAATACAGTGGCATAAAAGAGAATGGCTACGTCCAGGAATTCGTGAATCAACTGAACCAAGATGCAAACAATCATGAAAATATCATGGTGTTATTACTTGGATCTCTCACTGAACAGAATCATATTTTAACAAAAAACTAGATCTATGGCACTCTTGATTCTTCAATAAAGAAAGAGATCAAACGCAGAGTTGTTCCTACTGGTGAGACTTCGATAGAGTAACGTAATAAACATTGCATTGCAGAAAATGAGAATGGATATTTATTTCGCTTTCTTTCGGAGACGGATCATCGGAATATAACACGTTTTGTTCAATTTTCCCAATTTATGAAACAAAAAATTGATGTTGACTTTTTCAATCATCAAATGGTTAAAAGGAAAATATATTTATCGTATATTGAATAAACAAATAAATAAGCATTCCAAAATCATCACAAATTAAAACTCTTTGTTCTTTTACAACACAACTATAGAATACCTTACAAAAGAGCACAGAACAATGAACTTTATTGACAGACGACAATTGCCGAGATAGCATCGTGATCACAAACTACTTACTAGGTGGTTTGTGATCGTGATAATTACTCAATCGTAATTGAATTATTCATCCGATTAGTTTAAAATAATTAACCGCGAAAAGTCACATCGAACATCAGCAACACAGAATATAGGCCATAGAAATTTGACCCTCAAAATCAAATTTCCGCCAGATGTGTGTCTCTTCTGCAGTGTAGTCTATGATTCCGTGACAGAAATTATGTCATGTCCCAGATGAAAATCTGGGGAATACACATGATACATTTTTTTTCTATAATTATGAAATTTAGGAACTGAAATATCTTTAGAAGCAAACACAAAAGGTAAAAAAATATTTAGTAAACTGGTCGGTCAAAAAAGTAACATTTTTATTAGAGTTATATGTTACAACGTATTTCGGCATTCCATTCACAGAAGCGCTAAGCGCACAGATCTGTACATTATCCAAGAAAATTAATCTTAAAGCGTAAGTAGATTTTGTTTATTTATGAGCCTAATTAAAAAAATTATTTCATCTCAAATATAAATGAAACATTTTTCTACTTGATCATGTCAAACCTTGAGTTTGCTGTATACAGAGATAACTGCTCCTTTGTAAAGGAGAACGGACCATCAACACTGAAACAGGTGAAATTCAATAAAGAAAAATCTGTTTTGAAATGTGATTTTCCGTTAATCAGCTGTCGCCCCCATACGAACAACTCTCAGAAGTTGAGAAACTTATGCGAGCTAAGAACTAACGAGGTCTTACATTTTAACGTGTGATTCCTAACATGTTAGGAATTACGTAATGTAACTCTGAAAATCTCAAATACAATTTCAAACGGGCAAATTTTCCAGTAATGCTGAATATTACTGAATACCGATTGGCCAACTGTAAATGAATTACCTAACACGGATGAGGCTTGTTATGAATTTTATCGGATTCTTGATGGCGTAGTTTTACATTGTATACCATTTTTCAAAATAAAAAGTCTAAAATATCCTATATGGCACATTAAGAAAATATCAAATATAATAAATAAGTTGGGTCAGGAAAGTTCTGACTGGTTCATATTTGATAATGGTGGTTTGGTGAACATAGTTTCGATTCAGTAGTAGCAGAAGTACGTTCCAACTGATGTTTCTTATATTCTGTCATGTAAAACAGGATGATTCAATCAGTGTCACATTTTTTCCGGGATTTTTTCTGCAGTTGGAAAGCGGATGAGCCATCTGGAGAATGACGCAATGTATCATCTATATACATTACTGTTTCCAATATTTGTTATTCATACAATTTTCAAATCAAGTGAAGTCGAGAGAAAATCACCTGAATTTGAAATAAGGCCCCTGTTGATTATTGTAAAACTTTTCTATAGATTTGAGGTTAGTGATTTCGATATTTATATAACGATTTCGACATTAATACCAAGAAGAGTAAAAATTTCAGATTGTCTTTCCTGGAAACAAAAATGAAATCAATATTCCTTTGGTTGGGATTCAATCAAATAACCTAATGATGTTATTTACGTACTGTCAAGATGACATGGGTGGATTCGACCTATTCCGTGACGAAAAGTGATGCGTGATTTTATGAACGAATTGAGTGGTTTTTTTTTCAATGTTATCCGTATTTGGTACTGAAGAGCCAACAAGGCAAGCGTCTAATGGCGAAACATCAAGATATCTACCAGTGTTGATGACACTGTTCCATGTGAGTGAAATTTGCTTCTTTCAATAATTATATTGTGTAGGAATCCTGTGAATGATATCTGATTCAATTCCAAAATGACTGTTTGTAATACAAATGGAAAAGAAATAATATTTTTTTGTATAATTCAGCGGTCATATAAAAATATTTGTTTCGAAAGTATTTTTCTCTCGTGTAATTCAATGTTTATATGCCCGGTCGGTAGCCGGGCGGTTCGACTTGGGTGCTTTGTTCACTTAGTCAATCTGCCGATGTGTGAGTAGATGGTTCAAGCCGCAGGCAGAACGCTCGATATTCATTCGCTATCGTCCAACCCGTGTTAGGAATCACACGTTAAAAGGTAAGACCTCGTTACTCCTTAGCTCGCACAAGTTTCGACTTCTGAGGGTTTTCGTTCGTAGGGGTGCGATAGCTAGTTAACGGAAAAGAACTGTTTCTAGATAATTTTTTCTTTCAGTTTGTGCCTGAAAGTTACTTCTTTGCATGATTTATACATCTTCATATAGTGTTAATTTTTGAAATTGAACATTTCCACATTTTTTTTATCAAGAAAAGTAGATAGCCAAAACCTTTCTTTCCCATGAAATCATCAAGTTCTTACCTCTTATTTACACGGTCATAGCGAAGTCGAATATCTTTATTGGGCACTCCAGGGTCTGATGCTAGCTTCATACTTCAAGATTAATAGAAACCTTGGTGTTTAAACCGATTCGTTTTTTTTTGTCAAAATCTCATCTCGACGCGAGAAATCAGATTAACCCAGCTTTGTACACATGCTGATAGATGGAACAACAGTCATTTCCAAATGTAAACATTGGTGTGCACTTATCGTCTCTGAATGGAATGCCAAAGTACATCGGATCTTTTATGAAGAATCAAGGATGCTGTAGAGAGAGCACTTCAGTATCAAAATTTAAATATTAAAGTTGAGTTTTAAAGTCATAATATCCAAGAAATAAATAAACATATGTAGCCCTTCTGCGCCTCCATATTTAATGGATTACACCATTGTATTTCTATCCACTTGGCAAGGAATTTTTATCCACCTTGCTTTAGGTGCCAGGTAGGTACCATTCTTTCTCCTCTTATTGTGTTTGCTATTTTGAAAAACGTTAAGGATATTATTATATTAGTACTTAATAAGGGTTTCAAACATAACATGAAAACACCTAACTTGACAAAAAACCTGTAAATCTCAGGTATCGAAACAGGAGTTGGACTCAAATCCATAACTCACCCAGAATGAAGTGATTGGTCCATATCGATGCAAAAATTCCGATTTGTTATATTTGAACATGGCTAAACACTGCTCAGAATCATCAAGACGTTCTTGTTTTTGGTCAACAGTGAGCTAGCGCGGCACTCACTTTGAACAGAACTTTCTCATAGTCAAGTGCTCATTCAATATAAAGCCGACACGTTTTTTTGATATCTTTACAATAACACCTTACTCACGCAATTTCACTTTTCGGCAATTCAAAACAATTTTGGGGATTTTTTTATGTTTTCTGGTCTAACTGCCTCATTTGCTGCACGTCCACTGCGTTCTATATCATTGGATCGATGTCTCTATGAACGTTTGAAGTCAGCAAACGTTGTTTCTAATGGAGCGGAGTCCATTGCTTCGCTTGTACAGTATTTTTTCCATTGAGAAGCAGTGTAAAATTAAAAAGCAAAACTGTTTTTGATCATTTGTTTTGAAATGAACCTAAGTAGTGTCACTTTAGCACAATAACTCACAAACTTATGAGTAGAATATCACGAAATATCAAGAGTTCTCTTTTGCAGGTTAGTACTAACTGAAAAAGCGGCGACTGCAATAAAACTAGCGTCATATATGTGCTGGGCCCGAGACGTTTCAGGCCAGGTAGTATATGATGTCGTTTAACCATTTTCGGGCATTTTTTTACGACGAATTCAAATTGAAACAAACTGCTGCCGAAAAAGCCCGAAAAATCAACCAGGCATTTAGCAATAATAATGTTAATGAACGCACTGTTCGACGTCGGTTTGCAAAATTGCGTTCCAGTGATTTTAGCCTCGAAGCCCCGAAGCTGTTGACCTACAGTCTACAGTAATCCAGGAAGAGGGTTTGGGGACCCTAGTGGAAACTTATCCATCATCACAAATGGTGCGTGAGATGACGGAAGGACTAGGCATCAGTTCTCATGCGGTTTTTGATGGATTAAAATATATTGGAAAGGTCAAAAAACTCGAAAAGTGGTTGCCCCACGACTTGAGCGATTGTCGTTTCGAAGTCTGTTTTCCGTTGCTTTTGCGCAACTAAAACGATCCTTTTTTTGGATAGGATCGTTACATGTGATGAAAAGTGGATCATCTACCACAACGGGAGACGTTTAGGATAGTGGTTGGAAACCGATAAGCCACCCAGGCACTTCTCAAAAAAAACCTATAACTCTCTACAACCAGGCCAAACCACCATCACGGCAGAGACCTATTGTGAGAAAATCGACTAAAGCCCTGTTTTCCTAGCGACGCATTTTTCGCGTCGCGTGCGACGTGTTACGCTCAGCTTAATGAGTCACCTACTCCTCTATAGAAATTCAATAGGACTGTTTTCCTAAAGA